GGACCTTTTGTAAAGCGAGAAGTGATGGGTCTCTACCATTGGTATATCTTGAACGCGCTTCTTCGTACCAAGCCCAAGCTTGAATAAGACTTTGTTTTAATGCATGTATCTAAAAAAATATGATATATTGAATAAGGATGTTTATGTTATTCTTTAAGAGGACTTACTTCTGCCGCTTGACTTTGGGAAGTTTCTTTGACTGCTTTTACAAATTCCTCAAGCTTTCCAGCTTTCTCAGCCATATTAGATGCTTCATTATCGTTACCAATTTCAATTTTTATTTTTTTCCCTTGATATAAAACAGCTTTCAATTCCAATTCTAAAGCCAGACATTCTTCCCTGACCAATTTTGCAATCATTAATTCGGTCTCAATATTAATCGGAATTCTATCATTTATATTTGTTGTATTTATATTGTCAATATCAGGTGATTTTAAATCAGGTTTTACTACAACTGCAGGTTCCTGGGGTTTGACATGTACCGTTTTCTGTTCCATAACTTTGGGCGTTTCTGGCTTACTAAACAGATTAATGGATAATGATGGGTGAACTGTAGCCGCCTTTGTAGTTGTAACATTTTGTACAGATCCTTGCCAGGCAGGGACATTATTTAATGGTTGGTTTGACAATGAAGGCTTAGTAGCAACTGATGGTAAGACTGGATTGCTTGAAACAACAGGTTTTTGAACTTCTGCTGGAATTGGATTAATCTAAAAAATATAATAATTTAGAATATATGATATTGAATATTGGACCTATAACCTTTTCCACAGTAACAAACTGATTTAAACCAGATTTATCTGTAATAGATTCAGGAGGTGAACACACCGATGGAGCATTGGCTTTCATGTTTAATATATCAAAGCAACAGAGTACGCCATGATTAGACAAAATCAATAATGCTGGAGCAGGCGGCAGCGTTGTATCACCGCTTACGATTGTTTTAGTATATCCGGTGTTAATAGCGAAACCGATAGAGTACGTTTCTTGCCTCTTATTAGATAAAGGTAATTCAGCTCTGCTACTGTCCTCAAGACACCACTGCATCCACTTTGTTCCATCTAATCCAAGAACACCAACCTCACTTCCATTAGAAGAACTGACAAATAAAATATTCCTAAAATTGATTAATAGTAGAATTTGGTTTATATATATATATGTAAATAATTTACCAATGTTGCTCAAGAATTAAATAAAATTGGTAAGGTCTGGTATTACCATAACTATAACAGATATCTTCATAATTAGTGTATGTAGGGTTTCCAGTTTTTGGAGCATCAATAACAATTAATTTTGAAGATGCATTGGCATCAGTAGTGCTTTTGTAAACACCTATAAATTGAAAACTCGAAGCCCATTGCATTGAAATGATGCTAAAATTCCCATCAAGCACTGGACCATTTATAGATTTCACTGGTTTTAAATCAGGCTTATATTGTGTAATCTTCCCATCTTTACTACCAACTGCAATTTGTTTTCCCTTTGGACTCCAGCAGAAGCAAGTAGTTGCAGCAGCATTTGGAATTTCATGGATGTCCAAAGCATTTCCTTTAAATTCGTAAACAGCCAAAGAACCATCACTTTTGCAGGCTGTAAAAATATCTGGTATTGCTGGATTCCAATCAGTTTGCAATACTTTTACATTTGGTGTTGGAGATAAACGAATCTCTTTAATAATAAATATAGACTGAAATCAATAAATTGCATTAAACACATTTTGACTTCATCAATTATTGTTGATACCTGCTTGAGGAATGACAAAACATCATATATTATGGCAGTAGCACAACCATCTCTTTCAACTACAACACTCAGTTTTGTGCAATCACAATTAACAGATAAATGTTGAGCTACACCTGGTAACTCCACAATTCTTCTTGGGTAGTTTTTAAATTCCTTATCAGTATTATTAACTATATCCTGTTGTTGAATGACTGTAATCATGTTTGTTATATATAAAGGGTTGCATATTTCTGTTTGAGTTCATACCTTGGAAATTGTTAACCTTGGTTCCAACAAAGATCAACCCATACCGACTTGCACAGGCAAGCAATGAACAGATATTGCTAAATGAATCATCACTGTCTGTTTCAAATATATTTAGACGGCAATGTAATTTGAATTGAAAATCCTATAAAATATTTTTTTAGATATAACCTACAAATAGAACTGCTGAATACTTACCAAAACATCGAAAGGAGATGGAGCAGTATTTACCATTTTCAGTTATGTTTTATAACATTTGAAAATATGAAACATAAGTAAATTGTTGTTCAAATTTAACAATTTATTAATTATACGTTTATTTTGAATTAATGGCAGAATATAAAACACCAACAAAAAACTACCGGGCACACCAAGTTATGGTAACGTAATAACAAAAAATTACTAAAGAATTCTTGTGTAACCGTACGAGCGTTTCCTGAACTAATTAATTCTAATATGATTTTAAATTAACATAATTTGAATAAAATCAGATTTAACAAATTACTTACAGAAAATGTTAATGAAGAATAAAATAATAATTTCTTTAATGAAGATTTTAAATGAGATCGGAAAGGAGAACGTCCTTACATTACATAAATATATGAAACTTGAAAGGTATAAGATATTTAAAAAAATTTCATATTATGAAAACATTAATATATTCTTTATTCCTTTGTATAATGCATTATTAAAAAAAATAACATTAATATATTTTTAATTCTATAACATTATGATAGTATAAAAGTATCAAAAACACTTAATTAATTGAAATATAACATTAAAACTGGAACAAAATCTGATTAAAAGTTATTTTTAATTTGTTATTTTTTGTATTTTTAAGGCAAGATTATAAAGTAAAACATGCAATAATAAGCCACTTTATAGTTTTTTTTTTACATGAAAGCTTTTATATAAACAAAAACAATATATTTGCAATTGAATATTTTGGTTTTGCTTATTTTGTACTATGCAAAAGACTGATAAAACCCTGTGATTTATAATATTTGGCAACAATCAATGACCCAGCTTTTCCAAAAGCCATTCCTCAGTCAGATCCTCAAGTTCTCTGATCTCATATGACCTTGTCAATCCAGCTTCATTCTGCAAGGAAATTTTTGAACCAGCATACATCATTTGCAGTTCTGCATGACTATCACGTGGCGTGTAGAAAATAAAGCACAATGGAAAAGATATCCTGCCATCATTGTGGACTTGGCGATAGGACAGAATCACATATCTTGGTTGATGGCTTGGCAGACTTTCTTGAAGATCATCCACAGAAATTTTTTCCAGTTCTTCATCCACTATAATTTCTTGCTTCTCTCGATCTACCTTCACTAAATACAAAAAAATGTACATATTTAATAAATTAAATTAAACTTCCTTTAATAAAACATACAAATAAGAGCAGCTGTATCTTGCATTTTTTGGAATCTAAATTCTTTTATTGCTTTCTTCACATTGTCAGTAACTGAACAAATATTAACATTTCCAGACTAGAAAGAAATCGGATTATTATTTAGATTCTGGTAATTTCATTTACTTACCATATTGTTTGTTAGTAGGCGGTTTTCTGTGTTTTATTTTGACTAATTAATCTTGTTTCCAACAATTTGCTGTACCTCCCAAACGTTCGTAATTTATAAACTCTACAAATTTAAATTCCCTATGATCGACTTATTTTCAAAGTAGATTCTTGATATGCTCAAGGGGCTTTTAACTTTTCAATTTTGGTACTTCTGATGGGCATGTCCTGTTTTCAAAGAAGTTTGGTTTGATTACTCATAGCATAGATTGTCATAGTTGTCAATAACTGTCAGATTTTATCAACAGTGCCTGAAAGTTTATAAACTTACTCATTCAAGTTTGTGTTTGTTTGTATGTTACAATAAAAATTACAAGATGACAGTAATCGAATTTTTTGGATGTTCCTTTTTGGCGTTTGGTCCACCCTTGGCTATGTTTATGTTGACCATTGCACATGATCCAGTAAGGATAATAATATTGATAGCAGCAGCTTTCTTCTGGTTACTGTCATTGTTAACATCATCATTGTGGTGGTTTATAGTGATACCATTGCGAAAGGAACTTGTTTTTGGATTGGTGTTTAGTGTATGTTTCCAAGAAGTATTCAGACTAATAATTTACAAAATTATTAGGAAAGCAGAAAATGGCCTTAAGAAAATCACTGATGATAGCACAGCATTAATAGAGAACAAACATATATTAGCTTATGTCAGTGGACTTGGGTTTGGAATCATAAGTGGAATGTTCTCATTGGTGAATGTGGTAGCTGACGCTGTTGGACCTGGAACAATGGGTTTAAAATCTGGAAATGAACTGTTTTTCATTACTAGCTCTGCCATCTGTTTATGTTTTATATTGTTACATACATTTTGGGGAATCCTATTTTTCCATGCAATTGATACCAATAATCGTTTGCAAGTGGCTTATGTTGTTTTAACACATCTTGCTGCTTCATCATTGACATTAATCAACAGATATCAAGTTTATTATGCAACAATTGTTCCGCTCTATGCATTATTAGTGTTTACTGCCTTATATGCATTCAGGGTTGTTGGTGGTTCTATTACATCACTCAAAAGATGTATTCAATAATATATTGTACATGGATATTTAAACTATTTTTATTTATGATATTATACTTATTGTAATGTAACATCTTTAATTTATAATCAATTTCGTAATAAAATTTAATAAATTATATGATATTAAGTACTTTCAAAGTGAATATTAATAAAATACTATGTAAAAAGTTCCTTACAATAAATTAATATTTCCACTTTAAGAAATTGTCTTATTTTTATAATATTTTATATAAATAAATTATTAATATTTGTTTACAATTAATCATTGTACGTATTCTTAAACTGCAGAAACTTTTTCTTAATTTACTGGCAGCACCAGTCCTCTGCGGAACGCAACGATTGAGGACGATTGTTACCGATTGCCAACAAATTGGATCGTGGCGATTGCAGGTTAATCGTTTGATTCCTCAAGCAAATTTTATTTGCTGATTTGTATTATACGCATTTTTATACTGAACTACATTCTTATTTGATAACTCTTTTGAACACGTCCTGCACCAGTTTCATATTATTCTGTGAGTATTTTGTAATTTATAGGTTATTACATATGGTAACATTGCATCAGTAAATATAGATTCTCAAAAGATTCAATACACTAATATAAATCATTTTCAATCAAATTGTGAATGATAGACTTTAACATATGTTATAATTTTTATTTTAGGAAATAATGGCAGACCAATTAAATCCTGATCAAAAGTATGAATTATTATCTAGAAATTTGCAAGAAGTGCTTGGTGAAGATAAGATCAAAACCATATTGAAGGAAAGAGATCTAAAAATATATTGGGGCACAGCAACTACTGGAAAACCCCATGTTGCCTATTTTGTACCAATGTCAAAAATAGCAGATTTCTTGAGAGCTGGTGCTGAAGTAACTATTCTTTTTGCTGATCTACATGCCTACTTAGATAATATGAAAGCACCATGGGAGCTGCTAGCATTGAGAACTCAATACTATGAACATTCAATTAAAGCCATGCTTAAGTCAATTGGTGTCTCTACTGAAAAATTGAAATTTGTAAAAGGCACTGACTATCAGTTATCTAAGGAATATACCCTTGATGTTTATAGATTAAGTTCAGTGATCACTGAACATGATGCTAAAAAGGCTGGTGCTGAAGTAGTTAAACAGGTAGATCATCCTCTAGTAAGTGGACTTCTGTATCCAGGTATATTTGTACATGAAGACAATAAGCAAATGAATTAAATATTTTTTTATTATTTAGGACTGCAAGCTTTAGATGAAGAATATTTAAAAGTTGATGCACAGTTTGGTGGCATTGATCAAAGGAAAATATTTACTTTTGCTGAAAAGTATCTTCCCCAATTAGGTTACCAAAAGAGAGCTCATCTTATGAATCCCATGGGTATTTGAATCATTAACAATGGTTAAGTATTTGTTATTGTATAGTTTTGTTTTTGTTATAGTTCCTGGTTTGACTGGGGGGAAAATGTCTTCTTCAGAAGATGAGAGCAAGATTGACTTACTGGACAGCCCAGCTAATGTTAAAAAGAAGTTGAAGAAAGCATTCTGTGAACCAGGAAACATCACCAATAATGGTGTATTATCTTTTGTGAAACACGTTGTATTTCCACTTCTTGCAAAGGACGAAAAGTTTGTGGTACCGAGAAACGCAGATTATGGCGGTGATATAGAATATGATAACTTCGAGTTACTAGAAGCCGGATTTGCTAAGGAAGAAATACATCCTGGTGATTTGAAAACTGCTGTAGAAAATTATATCAATCGCTTATTGGAACCAGTAAGAAAAGTTTTTGAAGAGCCTTCATTGAAAGCTCTAGCAGCTAAGGCCTATCCTGCACCAGGAAAACAGAGTCAGTATACACAGATTAGTCACAAAAATTTATTATAATCAATCAATATTTATTATAGAAGCTGCTGCTATTGTTGACGAAGTTGTTCCATCGCGTTTGGATATCCGTATAGGTAAAATCGTGGAGGTGTCTCGTCATCCAGACGCTGATGCTTTATATGTAGAAAAAATTGACTTGGGCGAAGAAACACCCAGAACAATTGTTAGCGGATTAGTCAATTATATTCCTATTGAAGAAATGCAAAATAGAATGGTGGTTGTCCTTTGTAATCTGAAAGCTGCGAAGATGCGTGGCGTTGAATCCCAGGGCATGGTTCTTTGCGCTTCAACGTATGTTCTAATACATCGTACTAAATATTTACGATTTAATACATATTTATTTTTACAGAGATGAACCTAAGCAAGTGGAAACTTTAATACCACCAGAAGGTGCCATTGTTGGTGAACGCGTTTTTGTTGAAAACTTCGAAGATGGTCAACCGGATGAAGTTTTAAATCCGAAAAAGAAAGTATGGGATAAACTTCAAGTCGATCTGAAAACAAGCTCCGACTGCTTTGCTCAATGGCAAGGCAATAACCTATTAACTAAGAGCGGTGGAAAACTACGAAGCAAAACTTTAACTGGCGCACCGATTAAATAAACGCATGAAACGAATCAATGTATCTCTACATTCACATTATTTATTGAGTAAATGCAATAATATACAAATCTTTCTTTTTATTGACTATATTTTTAATATTTATATGTGCAAATCAGTTTTTGAGTTATATTAATGCTAAAGCAAACTTTTTAATATTAGTGTATAATAAAATACAAGCAAATATTAAATTTTCTAAAATATCAGTATATACAACTTATTGAGCATACCAATATAATTATGTAATTTTAACTAATCTCTTATATGTTTAAAGTTTATTGATTATCTGTTTCTTATTATTAAAAATCTATTGCTTAAAATCATCAAAACATGTGTTAATTTTAGTCTCACTAATTACAATTATATCAGCAACCAACCGATCTATAATATACTTCAACTAAAGTTTTTGCCCCCACTGCTCACAACCTTTGACATAATAGGTTATGTTTACAACAGTTCGCACGTGCTGTATGCCAGATTCGTAAAGCTGCTTCTAAATACAACATTAATTTAAAATATGGTATCAGAAGGTACTCAGGCCCATAGGGCTGGTAACCTTAAGCAATCGAATAAAAAGTTCAATTCCGGAAGGCATCATTCTAAGAGGTCAATCTCTATCTCGACGAAAGGTATTGTTATTGTTTTACGTTTTTTAATTAATTAACATTAATATCTTTAATTCTTTTAGGAAAGGTCAATATCAAATCAATTTTGCGTAAACAAAAAGGAGAATTAAGCAAGGAGCAAAAGAGGCATCAAGCAAACCAAATCAGGAAAAATAAAAGAGATGAAGTTTTAAACCAAAAACGCTCAATTGGTGGCTTGGATACATTACCATTTTTAGGTATGTGTTTAAACAATGCTGATAATATCAACATTAATATATTTTTTTAATTTCTAGTATGTGTTTTGCCATTGCACCAAAACATCAATCCTGAAATTGTCACAAAGTTATTAACAGAATGTGATGAAGATGCTGAGATCCATAAAAGTAATTCTGGTGTTGTACACATTACTTTACCACGTTTTAAGCAAAGGTTTGCATTCATTATACCAAGCTTGGACAATAATTTGGCTATATTAGATACTCTTAAAGTTTGTGATAGTGTTCTGTTTATAATTTCTACAAATGCAGAACTTGAATTTGGACCTAATTTAATTGATGATTGGGGTAAAAACCTTCTGATTTCATCTTTTTCACAGGTAAAGCTTGTTTTTCTTTGCTAAAATATGTAATATTAAATCTAATTGAATTATTTTTCAGGGATTACCAACACCAACAGTTGTTGTTACTGACTTAAATACACTCTCAGTTAAAAAGCAAAATGATCAGAAACAAAACATAAACAAAATGATTAGCAAATGGTTGCCTGATGAAAAAGTAATTACTTTGGACAAAAGTACAGATGGTTTAAATGTGCTAAGGAAAATTGGAAATCAAAAGAAACGTAAAATTAATTGCGATCGCAGACCGCACATCTACGCTGAAAGCTACGAATACATTAAAGACACTGAAGGTAATTTAGTAATATACTTATTTTTATTCATTTATTATTTAATCGTAATTTTAAGGAGTGGAAGGAACTTTAAAAGTAACAGGATACTTGAGAGGAACTGCATTGTCTGTAAATGATTTGGTTTATATACCAGGACTTGGCAATTTTCAAATGTCTCAAATTGATGCACCACATGATCCTTTTGCACCACAAAAGAAAAGGTATTTATTAATATTATGCCATGAATCCATATAATAACATTAAAATTATAGCAAATCTGCAAATAGCATGGAGCAGGAGGATACCACTGTTGTGAGAGTTTTAGAAAGGGCTGACGTTAGTAAACAGGAATCATTGCAATCTGAAAACGTACCAGATCCTTTAGACGCTGAACAAACTTGGCCGACTGAGGATGAAATACGTTTAGCACAAATGGAGGATAAGGTAAACATATTTTGTATTTAAAGCAATTATTACACAATTATATTTCAGTCAATAAAAGTAAAGAAAGTTCCAAAAGGATGGTCGGATTATCAAGCTGCTTGGATTCCTGACACGGACGCACAGGATATTAGTGACGATGATGAAGATGTGGACGAGGAAGAAGAAGATGATGCCATGGAAGCAATGAGCGACGAGGAATCAGAGGATGGTGAAGAGCAAGACTTGGAATCGGTTGTAACACAATCGGAGATCGCTGTGAACGATTTACAGTACGATCAGCAATTGGACCTAATGACGGAACAGGCTGATTTGAAGAAACTGAAGGCTGCAAAATTGGATAAAATGTTTCCCGACGAAATAGATACACCGCAAGACGTTCCGGCTAGGGTACGATTCCAAAAATACCGAGGTTTAGAAAGTTATCGGTAATTGTTTATGATTTTTTTTTGTAAACAACTTCGTCAAATTTATCATTTTATAATTACAGAACCTCTCCATGGGATCCGAAAGAAAATTTACCCGCAGATTATGCAAGAATATTCCAATTTCAGAACTTTGATCATACTAAGAAAAGGGTTTTAAATGGCTCTAAATTGAAGGAAGGAGCTATGGTATTTATTATCGAAATTGTTAACGAGTACATGTTTCATTATTTTATTTTCAGCCAGGATGGTTTGTTACAGTGCATGTCAAAGGAGTTTCTCAGTTACTTTGGAGAGCGTTTGAAACCACAAGTGCTCCAGTAATTTTGATTGGAATGTTCCCACATGAAGGGAAGATGTCTGTTGTAAATGTGGTTTTAAAACATGCTGGTCAATATGAGCAACCAATCAAATCAAAGGAAAGGTTAATTTTTCAATGTGGATACAGGAGGTTTATAGTTAACCCAATATTTAGTCAACATACAAATGGAAAGAAGCATAAAGTGAGTAAACGTTTCTTTGAAACTGTTCATATGTTTTTATCATATTGCATTTTTAGTTTGAAAGATACTTCCAAGTAGATTCAACAATTGTTGCTACATTTTATGCTCCCATACAATTTCCTCCAGCGCCCGTGGTTTGTTATAAGGAACATAATGGTCAATTGATATTGGTTGCCAATGGAAGTTTATTATCCTGCAATCCCGATAGAATAATAACTAAACGTATCGTACTTTCAGGTAAAAATTTATTATTTATTATATTAACATCGTCATTAAAATTTGTTTTGTTTTATTTATAGGACATCCATTTAAAGTCCATAAGAGATCTGCCGTTGTCAGATTTATGTTCTTCAATCGTGATGATATCGCTTACTTCAAGCCATGCAAACTACGCACTAAACATGGTCGTAATGGGCATATTAAAGAACCTTTGGGCACTCACGGACATATGAAATGCGTTTTCGATGGGCAACTCAAGTCGCAGGATACTGTGCTACTAAATCTCTATAAAAGAATATTCCCCAAGTGGACATACGAAGAATGCATAGTCAGCTGCGTGGATAGCAATATCGATGATGATATGGAAATGTAATGGATGCGTAAAAATAGTTTATTGTATAAATCTAAATAAAAAATATATCTATTATGCTCTTAATTGTGCCAACTGTTTTTCAATATCCTCATCTGTTAACGTAGTTTTCATGCTACCACCAATGGCTCCTTTCTCAGGTAACGGAACTCCGGCCATCTGCAAGTATACAAATATTTATTAAAATCTAAAAGAAAATAATAATAATTTACTTTGCCGCTCATTTCAATTCCAATTTCATCTAGGACCTTTGAAATAACATTATCACTTTCTTGCTCTTCGTCGGAATCTGCTAAAATATCATCGAACGCATCATTCACTAAAATACAAAAAGAAAATAATTCTGTCGTCAATGCATTAATCATTAATCAACTCACTCATTTCCTCAGACATATCTAACTTGGCAGCCTCTCGACTGAACGCGTTCGTCATAGCTGCAATTTGTTCAGGCCTCATAGATCTATTCATATCTGCCATAGTACTACCAGCAACGGCCATAGCTCCAGCCAACTTAGCGTTCGCTCCCATTGTTTTATTTTGTATACCTATGCTTTGTATTTTACTATTCGCTGTGTAAGTGCGCATTTTTTGTTTACGTAATAAAATCAATTGTTTTGCCAATACTTTACACCCTTCATTGTTACCCTCCCTTGCCAATTTTTTGATCTCCAATTCCTATAATAATTTAAAAGAATAAATTAATAATAATATTTAAAAAATGTTATTACAAAATCATATATAAATATAATTTATTTATTAAGTCAACTTTATACATTTATGTTTAAAGAAAAATATCTATTTTTTTAACAAATTTATTTATAACTTTATTATTAAAATTTGTCATATTTGTAATCACACTCTTCTCTATAATTAAATAAATGATTTACTAAAAAAAGTTTTAATCTTTATGAAGAGATTCATCTTTTAATTTTTAGCTTTTCTTGCAATTCCTTGCCCTGCATAAATCTTGCGTCACCCCCACTAAGTATCCAACTGTATGTATCGAGCGGTATTGCGTTACAAATAAGAAAATAACGGTAATAAGTATTGAAAGAAGGGCTACATGTCTGCCCTTATATTTGAGTTGCCAATAATAATCTTATATATAATTATCTTTTATAGAAGACGAGTTTATAAACTAATGCATTAATAAAAATAAATAAATACACTATCACTGATTTTAATATGTATGCAACAAAAGTACATTGTTTGTAACTTGGTCATATATAATAAATTAAGATAACCAAGTCCTAAAATAATGTTTATATATTATATTTCATTACTAACCAATTTTTTCTCTTCTCGTTCTAGTTCTCTTCTATCCCTTTCAATATCTCTACCAGCTTTTTTTAAGGCCCTATCAGCTTTTCTTTGCTGTTCTATAATTAAAATATGATTATTGACCACTATAGTTATACATTACGAGACATACCCTTTGGGTCAGGTTTAGAAAATAAATTAAACATCCTTGTAACTAATATTTTGAAGAAATTACACTTATGAATCACTGCTAAGTTTACTTGATAAAAATTTGACACATCTAAACCAAACAAGTCTAGTACAGTGTACAATGATGCTCCCTGTTGGTAAAAGTAGTAAACATTTTACAATTGCAAATTTACATAGAAATATTATCCAATACGAAGATGAAAGTTCAAATCTCACAAAAATAGGCCTGTAACGATATAAAAATAAATATAGTTATATTGCATATATTTGTATAGTGGATGACTTAGAAATATGAAACATGTTTAAAATATATGCATAATTTTGCATATAATAAATTATATATAATGTAGAATACATTCGTTTATATAAATATGTAATATTGTACTTTGTCGTCCCTTTGTTCATATAATAATTTGAAAAACCCTTCATATGATACGATCATCATTCCATAAATTAAACATAAAGCGTTTATGTATTACGCACTTGCAGATTATAAATAGTCATTTATAACAACATTCGTTCATTTATAGTGGATGAAGGCTGACTTCAACATTGTGCATTGAACTAATTAGTAAGTAATAAGTTTGCACGTAATGAACGTAAGGAATTTAGTAATTAGAAGACGAAGAAAAATATAGATCAAAATATGTTTAAATTTAATTGATTATCCAATCATAAAACTTGTTTTTAATTCTATATAGTGCAAGCAGATTAGCCTACAAGGAAATCTCATTTATTGTATATATTTGGGACAAAAAACTAAACATAAACAAATATTCAAAAATATTTTGTTTTCGATTTAGTACATTTAGTACTGCCGATCTTTGTTCTATGCAAAACAATGTGTACTGTTGCATTTTATGTTATAATTAGATGCGGAATATTAATGTAAAAATGTGCATTCATTATGCGAGTATTTAAAGGTCACAACAAAAATGGGATCGGTTATTTCTATATTGTTTCAAATTGGCCGCGTTCGACTGTTCGCTGCGTTGCCAATCCTGTTAGAATTTTTTAAATTTTCAAATATTTCTGCGATAAAAAATGGAACATATCAAATGTTTATATTTACACAATTTATCATCTATAAACAGCTGTAGTATTTTACTATGACTTGATAAACTCATTGTACAACACAGGAGCGGATTTAGGTATGGTTTTTATGAGTTTGCAAACTAGGGCTCCCTTCGAGGTCAAAATAATAAAAATAAACAAGTCAAATACTGTAAATCCTAGCCGCCTCTGTTACAACAATAACAAGCATTTTATTTTGTATTTGTTTAACTATAAAATAATATATTTACAAAATTATATTACATTTTTATCTGGATTCTAGTTAAATTTATATAAAATGATTATTCTAATAATAAATAAAGTTTTTTTTCAATTACAGTTTTGCTGAAAATAAATGCATATGAGGGCGAGGTAATTAATGACCAATCTAATTTGAAAGAATTTCAAGTTGTTTCGGAGGTATTGAGAAAGAATTATGACAACAGCGCATTGTTAAGACCATGTCTGTTAGATATGGTTGCCACCAGTGTGCACCACATTCAAGTTGCATGCTTGGAGCAGCGGGGTGAAGTGGTGTTTCAGAAGTGTCAGTCGGTGGTGGTTAGAGTTGTTTGAAGTGGTGACAGTGGCATTCCAGTAATAATGTGATGAATTACCTATTGTAGTGATGTTCTGTTGCGAATTCGAACGTGCATATGAATCGGAGAACGATGGAACAGTTTAGAGGGTTTGGATATTGTTGATAAGTGATAAGATGAGCGAAAGGAAGTTCGCGAAAGGGCTCACCAAGCCAGGAACCGCGGCTCAGCTTCGTGAGACGGTTTCGCAGGTCGTCAGGGAAACAGCAGTTCAAGTGCGTACTTTTTTCCTCCTTTATTCACTCCTCCCTCTCTGTTCGCATTATGTGGTATTATGCCAAATTCCAATATTCGCGGCCAAAAAAGGCAATTACGCAATATTCGGTATGCGTGTGTGCCCGTTCCCCACATTTGTAACCATCAATGTTTCAGTCTAATTAGATTCACCTCAATTATTGTTTACAGTGTACATGTAAATATTATAATGTTTACAGTTGTTACGTGATGGGATACGCAATGTCAAACTTACTGTTTACTAAATGTGCTTATTGGAAAAGTAAAATATAATATATAGCTTTTAAAACTGGTATCTTTATTCATGCCATTAAACCAACTTGACTTATCGACGTTTGATAAATACAGACAACCATTCCTTATCTTTTGGAATAGTGATCTCTTCCTATTATGCTTGTGAAAACTGAGATAAAACTGCAAGAAAAATACTGAATAACTCTGTTTATCATTAATAAATGATGGAATGCGGCAACAAATAATTATTTTTTCTATAAGAAAGACATCAATAACTTCCATCCAGTTAAAAAGTCATTAATTAATTAATTTATTATACCACTAAAGTGCTGAAAGCACGATAATACATTTTTTGTTCGTCTGACGACAATATTTTTCAAACACAAGGTTGTTTGATAAATTCACGAAGATTTTCAGCGTAACTATCTGATTCTAATTCCATATGCTGGGTTTTATAAATTTTACCAACGATCCTTAAATTATAGTTTAATAGCACATTAATTATACCATTTAACATAGAATTAATGAAGGTCTGGTAATTTTAACTTGCATTTATCGTTAGGTCTAATCTTTAGATTATATTTCAACTGTCATTAAGTTTAAAATTCAATGATTTCTGTAATTACGAATTCAATATTATTCTTTAAAATAAATCAAAATACAGGTTTTTTGAGGTTTCTCCAATCTATGAGTATAATTTTATCATCTCAATTGAAGGTTACTATTAGAAATATCACGAGGATATCGTTATAAAGGTTAATTAGCATTTTTGGGCAATTTGTTAAATGTGAACGTTCTTCTTTGTATTTCCAATTCTTACATTGTATCCGAATCGGTGCTATTATTAGCACTATTCTTCTCAATGACTTTATAATACACAAATAAACAGCTGTGCAAAATAATCATTAACATAATTTAATGTAGTCTTGTTAGAATTCATATTGACCCAAATTCCAAATAAGATTAAGGCATTACCTTAGAATACATTTTTATTTCATTTATATTTTAATATCTAGAAAATAAATTGTATTATAGGAAGAGAGCATGTGTATATATAGTTTTATATTATTTATTCGTGCGACTTATTCGATTTGTTTAATATGTAATTGAATTTTAAGTGTCTGTTTAAATAAACTTGTGTAAATAAGTGATACTTTAGATTAAACATTTAAAGCTTTATGCAGTAATAAACACGGTAACCATCCGTTTTAGTTAGACCATTGTATAATTTCATTCATGAATAATAAATATAACGTCCGTGTTTATTATCGTGAGAAATTAATACTTTTGACTTGATAGAACTTCCTGTTTAAGATTGAATTGTGTTATCAGCGCGATTAACGGATCTTTTCTATTGAATACATATAATGAAATGCTATTATCTCAAAAAAAATGAACGAATATGATGTTTTTAATTCTTAATCCATATTACTATTGAGTAAACATAAGTGTTTTATTTATTCTAGTATTATATAGGTAAATAATTTTAAATTTTTGTAATAATTGTTTTTTTTTTATTTTAGAATAAATCCCAACTAGTCGAACCATTAGATTTTGAAGATTTTATATTAAAGAATAAAACTGTTCTGCAGAATGATCCTCAAAGAGAGCTGTTGATATATCCACAAGACGACATAATTGTAAGTGAATCTCAACGTGCACGTATTTATATTATAAATAATTAAAAAATTAAAAATATTATGTAAATGAAAGAATGACTAAAGTTAATAGGTTTTGAAAGTAGTTAATAACATAAATAATATTTATTATAATTAATATAATTAATATGTAATTTTTTTTTATTATTTTAAAAATAATTTTAAAACTTTCAGCAAGTAGTTTTACCGAAACGATTTAGATCATTATCCCAGAATGTGCCAAATACAAGCGACTGTAATTTATTTACAAGACAATGCGTGGCGTCATATGCAAACAACTGGCATATGGTGCATTACAAATATGACAATTATTCCGGTAGTTATTCTGGTCTTCCGAAAGTTAGACCATTATCGACGGAACTCAAGGAGGATACCTTCGAAGTGGATCTAGATCTTGATGGTGGCGATGATTTGAAAAAGTCAGTGGAGGGCATTACCAAAGAAGGGTTCTTGATGAAAGGACCAGAGATCGGTTGGTACACTGCAGTAGCAGAATGCAATTATCGAAATTAATTTATCGCATATTCTAGGGTCCGATAGAATGTTTGTGAATATTGGTTCAAAAACATTTAAACGACGATATTGCTACTTAAGGCAAGAAATCGACGGCACACATATGCTAGAATTGTATAAAGACGAGAAGAAAGGCGAAGCAAAAATAACAATTGTCATGGATTTCTGTACAGACGTTGTTAAAAATTTAAAACGAGGTCGTTTCTGTTTCGAACTGAGAATGACTGCCGGTCACAAGTCCTACATACTGGCAGCGGAAAATGAAAATGATTACAAAGATTGGCTTACAAAGCTGAGTTCTGTTATTCAGCAAAATAAGATACAAGAAGAAAAGCGAGCAGCGTCACTCGAAAGAGGTAAAAACTGACATTATTTGATGTGCGTATGTATTTCAATTTGGTTTCTTTTAGAACGTACATCACCGCCTCCGCAAGTACAACCTTTTGGAACTCTGAAAGGCTTAGAACATAGTCTTAATCCTCAATTGACAAAGTACGCTCGGGAGACTGATACCAGCATAGCGCATATGAGAAAGGAAAGTCGCCAAAAGTTATTACCCCTATGTCCTCAAGTTTACACAACATTAAAACTACAATCATCTAGTCAAGAATCTTCCGTGGAGCCATATAAAGAAATGTTCGGACAACGGGTTCTCATCAAATGTGATAGTTTACGATTCCGCCTACAAGTATCTCATGATGACGAAAATTTAAGTCAAATTGAACCGTACTATACAACCCTCTGTTTATATGATGCAAGAAATTTGAAGAAACTCACAGAGAATTTCCATTTTGATTTAAATGGGGATACAGCGAGAGCAATGGTGGCCTATAGTCAGACGCCCACTGACACAACACCCGACATTGATTTATCAGAGAAACTGGCTGACTGGATAAAATATCCCAAGAAGGCCGTCTTTTCTGTTATGAATCCTCATTGTGATATTTTTATAGTTGTTAAGATCGAGAAAGTCTTGCAGGGCGGTATATGTCAAGCCTCGGAACCGTACATTAAGAACGCCAAAGATCCAAAAGGGAATATGAAAGTTTTTAAAAGTATATCTACTTATTGCCAGAGGTTGGGTAGCTACAGACAACCTTTCGCATGGGCAGCAAAGCCGTTGTTCAGATTGTATAGTAACGATTTGGATACGTCTACCGATTTTCCGGCAATTTTCCGACAGGAGAATAATAAAATAACCGACGAAGAGCTACTCAAATTATTGTCTGAATACAGAAAACCAGATAAGTTTAGTAAATTAACTGTGATACCAGGCACCCTGAAAATACAAATTGAACCTATGACAGATATGCCCAACAGTAAGTGTTTGAAAATATCAATCATTTTATGATAATTCATTAAGTATTATTTAGATTGTCTGACGAGTTCTTTGGTTCCCATAAAACCTTTTCCGATTCCACCAACTGTTGAACCAACAATCGAGGTTATGGAATTTGAAGGTTCTTCAGAAAAAGAGGTTTATCCATATACGAACTTTGTGAATCATTTATACGTTTACCCACAAATGTTGAACTTCGATACGCAGAAGTTATTTACTAGAGCAAGGAATATCGCATGCCTTGTAGAACTTAGAGACTCCGATGGAGAAGAAGCCAAAGGAATTCAAGTAAATACCTTAAAAAGATTTTATTATTCATATATTAATTGTTTTTGTTTTGTAGTGTATTTATGGTAGACCCGGAAATGCTCTTTTGGTCAACCAAGTTTCATGCGCAGTTTTACATCACAGTACCACGCCTTGTTGGTACGAAGAAATTAAAGTACGATTACCAATAAATCTGACGGCCAATCACCATCTACTATTCACATTTTATCATGTATCGTGTGATATATCAAAGAAAAAAGATACCGTGGAAAGTTCAGTTGGGTTTGCGTGGTTACCATTGCTTCAGAAAGGAAAACTTTCTACAGAAATGCAAACAATTCCGGTTGCCAGTCATCTTCCTCCAGGATATTTAAGTGTTCATCCATTTGGCTTGGGAAAAGGGGTAAGAAGTATATTGAAATTTAGATTTATAACTAATGCATATATTTTTTTTTAAATATAGAATGCAGGTCCCGAAATTAATTGGATTGATTCGCAGAAACCAATTTTTACAGTCTCATTTAATTTAATATCAACTGTGAACACGAAAGATCAGCATTTGTTTAATCTTTTTATACACGCAGAGAAGGTTTTGACTCCTAAACCAACGACATTATCAACTGAAAAGGAAATATGCAAAATAATTAAAGCACTACATGCAGTACAATTAACAACATTGATTACGTATCTGCCAACACTTATTAATCAGCTTTTCATATTACTCGTGGGGACTAGTAATGTTGATATTGGTTTAAACGTAATCCGTGTTTTGATTAACTTGATAAATATGATTTACGAAGCTGGGAGAAAGGACGTGCTTTTATCATATGTGAAGTATGTGTTTGTAACGCCGGAAGGAAGAAAAGGTGCAACAGTGCATGAAGAAATGTGCAAATTTCTACCAAGCATATTAGATCCAAATAACACAGACTTTTTGGTTATCAATAAATTTATGAAACATTCAGAATTTTTCTTTCAAATTGTAATAAAAAGCATGGCACAACATTTATTAAACACTGGACGAATTAAAGTAAAAATATTTGCAGGAAGATTTTTGAAAATTATGTACTAATTATTATATTTGTAGATGCATAGACACGAAAGGTTTCCTTCGGAATATCTTAAAAATATTGAGATATTGTCGGAAGTATTGATAGGATATATATTGAGCAAACATAAGGATATGCCTTCAGAAACAACTGAGTTGAATAAAGGTTTTGCTCACTTTTTAACGGTAATATATACATTTGCAAATGTGATTTATCATGCAATATATTTTTTTTTTCAATTTTAGAAATGTTTAACTCTCATGGACAGAGGTTTTGTTTTTAAGCTAATCAATTCTTATTTACAAAAATTTCAACCTGGAGACGCTCGTTCGCTTCAAGAATGCAAATTTATATTCTTCGAAATTCTATGTGGTCATGAACACTTCGTCATATTGAATTTACCGATAAGTCATTCAAGGATAAGTCCGAAGAATCGTTCGCCTGACTTCATACAAGAATTTGCCCTATCCGAAGAATTTTGTAGACATCATTATATGGTTTCTATGCTACTGCAAGAAGTCAGAAGTTCCTTGAACGAAATATCTCATATTCGAAAGATAGCTTTGAATGTGTTGAGAAATCTCGTGGCAAAACACGAATTGGACGATAGGTACGACAATAAAGGAAAGATGTCCAGAATTGCATTGTTATATGTACCGTGGTTGAGTATTGTTTTGGATAACATTAACAGATTGTTGCCGGATGATAAAATTGATGATGCAGCGACGAATGGGATTTCTAACAGGATGTCTTCGTCGAGCAGTTACATGTTAGCTAAGAGTTCTGTAAGCGATACCCCGAGCAGACATAGATTTACATTACATTTTTCTGATAGTCCCATACATATAAGGAACTCTGCGTTCTTCGATGCAATTGCAGGCCAATCAATAGTTAATGGTCATAGCTCAATGAGTTTGGAGTCTGATTTATCGACAATGTCTGGAGACAATAATTCTGTCACATCGCAGGAAACGACAATAATTAGGGACGATACATTGAAGAACGGCGATTTGAAAACTCATCGACGTGGATTGAGTATTACCCAATCAACGCAAATCCACAGGTATGACAAACTTCATCAAAGCGAAAGTAAAGATATCTTCCTAGTTTTCCTTTTTGTCGTTAAATATATGGGAGATGATCAGTTATTATCCTGGTGGCAAAAGTCCACTGACGCCGACGTTGTTGGCTTCTTTTCAGTATTGGAACTAGCGTTAGGTTATTTCAAATATATCGGCAAACGAAATATAGTGTTAGTGAAAAGCCAATCCGTGTCATCTGTAAAATCGAAATCAACGAAAGCCCATACATTGCCAGCACGTATGAATCCATCGGAAATTAATCATGAGAACACCGGAACTTTGGTAATTCACACAAGAGATAACCGAGAGAATCTAATTAATAGCGAAGATGAATGTGTTCGCAATCAGCAAGCTTGCTTGGAACAACACCTAACAACAGAAATAGGACTTGTTATCTTGGATTGTATGGGTCTTTACTGCATACATTTTCGTTCCAATTTACTGCAGTCTGAAGGAGATAATGCAATAATGCGCAAAATCTTTGATATATACCTTACATTCATAGAACTTGGACAAGGAGAAAGATTATATAAACACGTATTTGCAGCTCTGCGTGCTTTTATAAACAACTACTCGATGATATTGTTTAAAGGAAACGCTGTGCTTTGTGGCAAGTTATGTTACGAACTTCTAAGATGTTGCAACAGTCGATTAGCATCGGTTAGACAAGAAGCATGTGCTATTTTATATTTATTAATGCGTTCCAATTTCGAATTCACCGGAAGGAAAGGTCTGACTAGAGTACATCTTCAAGTTATCATTTCCGTTTCCCAGATATTGGGTAATGTGATTGGTTTGAATAACGCTCGATTCCAAGAGAGTATATCAATAGTAAATAGTTACGCAACTAGCGATAAAGCTATGAAAGGAACAGGATTTCCTGTCGAAGTTAAAGATTTAACGAAGAGAATACGTACCGTTTTAATGGCTACTGTTCAAATGAAGGAGCACCATCATGATCCTGAGATGCTGGTAGATCTTCAACATAGTTTGGCAAATTCTTATGCTTCGACTCCCGAACTTCGGCATACATGGTTGGAAAATATGACTAAAAACCATTTGAGGGATGGAAACTTCTCTGAGGTACACGTAGAATAAATTCATAACAAAGATGAGTATTAATAAGTTTTATTACGTTTAGGCTGCTTGCTGTCAGCTGCACATAGCTGCTTTGATGGCGGAATATTTAAAACTAAAAAAAACACAAAACTGGGGCGCAGAAGTATTCAGTAAGATCTCTTCGAATATCGCCAGAGACGAAAGAGGTATAAAATATGATGTCGGAGTTCAGGATGTTCAATATTCAGATTATACACTTCTGCAAAAATTGGAGACGTGTGCAGAATATATTGATAAAGCTGAAAGATACGAATTATTAGGTAAGTTGATGGACAAATAATAATAATGCAAATATAATAATACTTCTTAATGTTTTAGGTGAATTGTATAAGTTAATAATTCCTATCTATGAAGAAAAACGAAATTACCAACTATTAAAAGAGTGCTACGAGCATTTGGCTATCAACTATGGAAAAGTAGTTGATGCAAATAAATCAGGTAAACGTCTGCTCGGGCGATTCTATCGAGTAGGATTTTACGGAAACGCCTATTTCGAAGAAGAAAGCGGAGTGGAATACATTTATAAAGAGCCAAAAGTTACTGCGTTAAGTGAAATTTCTGATAGGTTGTATAAACAGTATTGCCAAAAATACCGACAAGAGGTTGTGAAAATGATACAAGATTCAATACCAGTAAGAAGTTAATAATATTCCTTAAAATCGCACATTAAATACATCTTACATAATTTCTAGATTAATCAAAGTGATTTGGATCAAAAATTCGTTTATATACAAGTTACTCATGTTACTCCATATTTTGATAAGAATGTTTTGGATGAGCGCCAAACCGATTTTGAACAAAATCACGATGTAAGTTCCTTTATGTTTGAAACACCATTTACTAAAGACGGAAAGGCGAGGGGAAGTCCCGAAGATCAATGGAAACGAAGAACAATGCTGACAAGTATATATATTCTTAACCCATAGTTTAAAATGTCTTAACTAAAAAATATTCTCTTATCTAGCGGAATACTCGTTTCCTTATGTAAAGAAAAGGATACGTGTTGTATCAAAACGAAGTATTGAATTGAGTCCTATTGAAGTTGCAATAGATGAAATGAGGAACCGTGTTTCGGAATTAGAGGATGTCGTATTTTCACAAACCACGGATGTAAAGAAATTGCAATTAGTGTTGCAAGGAAGTATTTGCGTTCAAGTTAACGCAGGACCTTTGACATACGCATCTGTGTTCCTCGATCCCGCACTCTCTAATCTCTATCCAGATGATAAAGTAGAAGAATTGAAAGATATTTACAGGTACGCAGCTTACTATTTATATTCAGAACACATTATTTATTATATGTGTACTTGCAGGGAATTTTTAAAGATTTGTTATTCAGCTCTACAAATCAATAGTAAAATCATTAGTCAAAACCAGGTGGAATATCAAGAGGCGTTGCGTGAAAACTACAAGAAGTTGTGCTCGTCTCTGTCTGAACTATTCGGAGAGCCGTTGTGGCCTCACGAGGAAACCGGCAGTTTCAAACGAAACAGTACTGCCCTATTTAGTGCAATTAGTGGAACATCACAAAACTCAAGTACCGCTTAAAAGTCTAATTACAAAATAAACAAACAGCGAAGGTATGTAAAATAATTGTAAATATTATACTCAATTTATTTAGTTTTAATTAATTTTATTTTATCTCATTTGAGAAACATTGTTATATTTTGTTGTTTTTTTTATATATAATATGTTTGGTTTAACCACAAGATTCAAATTTAGTTTATTATTATTACTCAAAATTCTTCATATTAACAAACATATTTATTTATTTCCTTTTTTTTTAATCTAAATTCAGTTAGAAAAAACATACCTGATTTTAAATATTACCTCTTCACGATGTCAGTATTTGAGGCAGAATGTGATTATTTGATTCATACACGTAAAAAGACTGGCTCAATTCGAAATTTTATATACATATATACTCGTATCTCTTATAAACTATAGTTTTAACACAAATATATGAAATTTTATACTGTATTTTATATGTGACTATTGAATATTTATAAACAAAAATAAATAATACTATCATAGTTATAATATTCCTTGAGTAAAAAAAAAATGATATAAAAATCAAGTTGAATAGGAATTATTATTAATTCTCATGTGGATTTAATTTTGTTGTTGACGTGTGTTAATTAAATATGAATAAATTTTATTAATTATTTCATCATTTTAGATAACTAATATAAACAATTTTTATCGAACGTTCATAATTAAATAATTTAATATTTGTGTCTACAAAACGTTTTGTTACTCTCTAGTTATTCTGATCATTTTCCAATCTATAATTCTATTATTTGCTTGCATACTCATTTCACAAGATATATAAAATGTCATTAGGATAGTTCAAACGCATCTCTCTCTTAAGTTAATATATTTTTATTATATAATATTGCATAAAATGTGGAATTCTCAACTGTGTGTTGTACAAAATATTGTCAATGAAAATGTATTTATTTTGTATGGGCTGTGAACATGCAGACGTTTTAATATATTATTTATGTAAATATTTCCAATCTCTAGAATTAACGCTGAAATTTATTTTCTTCTATTGCAAATGTATTATTTTTGTGTGCACATTTCTTTTGTTTTCTTTTTGTAACAGAGCTTCTATTTTTATTTACTCTTTTCCATGATTATTTATGTATACTGTTAAGTACATTTATTTATAATCAATGTATGCATAGTGAAAAGCAAAAAAAAAAAATACAATAAATGTTAAAATAAATATTGAATAAATGCAGATTTCTGTGTTCTAGTTTATTATATCTTTTTCTTGACTTAAGTGTTCCTACTCATGATAGAAATACAGGTATCCCCGACTTACGAACTAGTTCCGTTCCAAAGGGTTGTTCGTAAGTCGTGGAAATTTTAATAATTTCAATATATATTTATCTTATCACACTTTATCATGGTTTTTACTTTTATATATGTTAAATTCCGTATTACAAACTGTTTACTTACTATTAGAAATTATCAATTTTTGTTTGGACAGTTAATTTTTTATCACTACATATTTCCTTGTAACAAGTTACAGCTTTTAGAATTTTGTTCGTAAGTCCGGGAGTTCGTAAGTCGGAGCATACCTGTACTAAATATTTTCAGAGCCATCTATCGCTTAATGTATTATTATGATTCTAGTTACGTCCAAATTTCCTTACGTTGGTACTGGCAACACTGATTATAGCTGGTAAGCTGTCAACTATATTTTGCTCATTCTACATTTGATAACAAACGTGAAAGCAAAGTTTTGTAATCAATTCAGTTAATACTCTGTAAAAATGACTACTGCTGCTAGACCAACATTTGAACCTGCCCGTGGAGGCTCAGGACGTAATGAGAAAGATCTTAGTGCAATTTCCAGGCAGTATTCAAGCAGAGATTTACCAGGACACACCAAATTGAAATACAGGTTTGTTATTTTTTATTATACTAAACGATTCGATAAAAAGCAATATTGTGTTATAGGGAACATGGACAAGGTACAACAGAAGAGATCAGGTCAAGAGATTTCCGTAAGGAACTTGAAGAGAGAGAAAGGGACACCAAGGGTACCAGTAGGAGTGGACGTACTTCAGAGCATAGCAGTACTAAACGCTTGAAGCTAGAGCAAGTACCTGCTGCCAGTTTAGATGCAGATGATGCTTTGGAGGAAGAAGATTCATCGGATAGTGATAGTGATGATGACACTGAGGCCCTGTTAGCTGAATTAAATAAAATCAAGAAGGAAAGGGCAATGGACCAAGCAAAAAAGGTAATGTTATATATTTTCATAGTCATACTTATATTTACTATATAATTGTTTGCAGGAAATTGAACGTAGACAAGAAGAAGAGAGGATTAGAATGGAAAACATATTGAGTGGAAATCCTTTGTTGACACACTATTCTTCAGGGTCAGCAAAAGGTGATAACAAAGTGAAGAGAAGATGGGATGATGATGTTGTTTTCAAGAACTGTGCTAGATCTGAACCAGAGAAGAAATCAAATGTGTTCATCAATGATTCCCTGCGTTCAGATTTCCATAGAAAATTTATGGAAAAATATGTTAAGTAAACTAATTTGGACATAATTACGACATAAGATAAATAAATTACGTTTTTCTAGAATCCTAAGATTTTTCTTTAATTGCTATAATCGAACATTTGTATATTCAAAATAAAGCATAATTTTGCACAGAAAACACGCGCGTTTGCAATTTTCCATACATCTAATTAATTTAAAATGAGAAATTTAACCATATTTTACTTATAAAAATGTTGTTTATTAATATTGAGTTATCGAAATTGTATTAATTATTAAAAAGTGTTAAGAAAATGTTGATTAAGTTGCATAAGTAGTGGTAAATATCTTCAGAGGAAACTGTATAATGATATCTCCTGAGGCTACAAAAACCTGTCTGCCTTCAAGGCGGAGTTAGGATGCGGCGTTGGATTGTACGACAGCGCAGTTTCTATGCTTTGCCAGTCCACAGTTTGACCTCAAGCAATCTCCTTCACAATGCGCTGCGCGACATATTTTTCAATTTCGCTCTTTACGTTTGTCTCGATCATTGCATACTGCCGATCTGGAATCCCAGCAGGCATCTATGTGGACAATGGTTTGGATCAGACTTCGCTGGAGAGGTTCCTGACGAAGCAGGAGAAGCGCGATATGGAGCTGGAAATTTTAAATTTGCTGGGTTTACCGAACAGACCGAGCAAGGGATTAAGCAAATTCAAGAAGTCTGCCCAAAGTAAATTCCTCATGGACGTGTACAAGAGTTTGATGGAGAAAGAAAACGGCAGAGAGGAACGAGACGCTGATTTGTATTTAAGCGGCGAAGAAAAAAATGCCATTGAAGAAAGCGATATGATTATGACTTTCGATAGTATCAGTAAGTTTTGTCAATTTTTGTTGTTGTTCTTTATCATTCCATAAATTTGTTAATCTCCATTCATAATTATAAGTTTGAATTAATCTTAATTTCTAATTATTTAAGGCAATCATGTGCGTGGTGTGAGACATGAACGCGGGAAGCGTTTATGGTTTAATGTTGCCGATGTTCCTGTGGGCGAAACCATTGTCGGAGCGGAATTACGCATTTTTCAGAATGTTAATTACACAGTTAAACATCCCAACGCTGTTTACACAGTTACCGCTTACAAGTTAATTAGTATTGAAAATGGGTAAGTTATAAGTAAACATTTACTCAAAATAAACCATTATTCATCTCAAATTTGTAGGGAAAAAGAGTTAGAATATGTTGCCGCCGTGAACACGACGGCCAGTTATTCCGGATGGTTGGAACTCAATTTGACATCGTGTTTCGCGACGTGGGTGGCGATCCCAGACGCGAACAAGGGCTTGTACCTGTCCGTACACTCAGTCGATAAGCCAGGTACGTTTTTTTCCTAATGAAACTAAAACATTCTTGATGACTCATCTAATAGATCTTTTGCGTCCCTCTAGTCCATTGTTTAAAATATTGTCCAATTGCAGGTCACGAATTGAAACCCGAAGATCTTGGAATCGTAACTGTTAAAGGCGAGGATGAGAGTAAACCATTTATGGTCGCTTTTCTGAAAGCAAGCAATCACGTTAATGTGAGGATCCCGAGAGACACAAGAAGAACACGGAAATCCGATTACAATTCGATGATAAAAGATATCATTCATGGTAACTTTTCTAGCTCGTATAATCTTGAAAGTATTTATCATTTCTAATTACAGATGCTTCCAATGAAAATAACAAGAGTTGTAGAATACATAACTTGTTTATAAGCTTTAAAGATTTAAAGTGGCATGTGAGTATATGATAATATAATATAATTTTATAAAAAATGTTTCATTAATTTATTGATTTTAGGACTGGATTATTGCCCCAGACGGTTACCAAGCGTATTACTGCGACGGCGAATGCAATTTCCCTTTAAACAATAACATGAACGCCACAAATCACGCCATTGTTCAAACATTGGTACATCTGATTAATCCAGTGAAATACCCGAAACCGTGTTGCGCGCCGACCAAGTTATACCCTATTTCAGTGTTGTACCATTTGAATGATGCGAACGTAATGCTTAAGAAGTATAAAAGAATGGTTGTAAAAAGTTGCGGTTGCTTGTAATTTATATCCATTTTAATTAATAACCAATTGTCGTGGAGATGAACCGTGATATTCTATTTTATATGTTGTATATGATATTGTGTAAATATTGTTATTTTTTTATAAACGATCTTGTCCATGTGTTTAATTAAAATTAGACATATTATAATAATAATAAATAGTTTTAAATTGAATAGCGTTATTTTTTTTTTTGTATATAAATATGTGTGCAAGTATTTTTTGAGAATCATTTTTGTACTTAGATTATGTACATCAAAGTAGTTATGTCATTTTAACTCATTAGCATCCACTTAAAGTTAAGCGAACCGTGAATGAGGGTTGACATTTACCTTTTTTATATACAGATGCTTGCATTTCAGATTTTATGTTATTTATTACACTACGAAATTATCCATTAATTAAGTTTTAATTATCACATGAAACAACGATTTTATTATTTTTATTAAATCCATAATTATAATTTATATATCCATTAAACTAGGATTATTAAAATATTTTTGTAAAAAAAAACTGATACTAAAAAACTACTTAAAATAATATTATATACAAATACAATAAAAACTAAATACATAATTTAGTTTACTTATAATTAATATTTACATATGTTTGTGAAATGGAAGCTAATGCAATTTTAACGAGAGTTTCCAAACAAAAATAAATGTAACAAATATAAAATTCAACAACCAAATTTGGATTAATCCTTTCCAGCCCAAATTTATTTTCAATTACAAAAATTGTTTTCTTCAAATCTTTATAAAAGCACTTACATAATTTGTTAAAAATACATCTATAGTTTCAACAGTTTAAAACTCGTCAAAAGACAAAATTGTATTTAAAAATTAATGATTCCAATTGGAATCACTGGGCTGGAAAGGGTTAAATTTATTATAATTATTTGTATTTAATCGAAATTTAGCTTAATTATAAAAAAAAAATTAATTTTGTGTGTATATACTTTTATTATAATATAAAAGTATTGACATTATGTATATAAACAGTAAGTTTATGATTGTTCATAAATCATTAAAAACAAACAAATTATAAGCAGTAAATATCATAAAATGATATATAATATGAATGTATTTTTATAGAAATCGGTTTTTACTGTATAATGTTATTTGGTTATCCATAAAATTAATGTTTGCTTAGGTTTTAACTTCAATTTTCGTTTAACAGACATGTTATAATTAATCTACCGCTAGTCGACGTTTGTTTCAAGTAAATTATAATAATTCGTATTGGAAATATGATTAGTATAATTACGTAATTGGGTAAATATTAAATATTTTGATGAAAAACATTCGAATTTGAAATTATTCAAGCCAATTAGTTTAAAAAAGATTATGTATTAATTTCGTATTAAATCGAGCGCAAATCAATGTTGGTTCGAGATAAATTATGTTATAAAATACAAATGTTGAGTTGATTTATCAGATAAATAGTTAAATAACATTCGAATTTGAAATTAGCGCTTTGCCACGCCTGCCAACATGAGAATGCATATGGATATGATGACAGATGATGATTCATAATAAAGACACCAGCGGCGCTGCGAGCTTTTTTTCAGTGACAAGACTGACAGGCGAACAACACTATTTTCTAACGAGATTGTTCGGTGTAACTGAAAGAAAGCCGTAGGAGCCTGGAAATCTGTGGCGAAAGGTTTGCACGATAATGGACGGCATGATATGGGACGTTTAGTGGACGGCGCATAGCAGACAACGAGAGTGTAACAAGTAGTTGACAGTGGCACCCTTGTGATCCCAGAGTGTGAGTGAGTGTGTGTGTGTGCGTGTGTGTCGGAGAGTTTGCCTTTTCACGTAGGTTGGGCTATGACATTGCCAGTGATTCAGTTTCCAGTAAATGTGGGATTTTTTCGCGAGACTCATCAAAGGGCCCACCAATAACGAAGACGCAGCTCAAGGTGGCGAGGAGGGCGGCATCAGGGGATCGGCGGAAATGGACCACCGCTTTACCACGCACGAGAACAACAGACACCCCAGGTCCAGCGATGCAGACCTACAAGACACCAACGAAACGAAAAAGGTATAAGCTACAACAATACAATACCGTGCAATTCAATAAGAACTGCATGCAGGTATACTACTTCTACTACTATTGTTGCTGCTGCTCCCTACTCTAATTTGCATTTCATTACTCATACATTTATTATTAAACCACCGAATCAATATAATTAAATCGAATACTACCTAAGTGTTTCAAAGCTAAATTGTACGTTTCAAAGCAAATACATAACGTTAAAATGCTTTTCCGCAAATCTCATCTCATCATATTTATAGAGCGGGGTACGCTTATCTCAATGTAAATATTTATTTGCCTTCTATTGGATGTAAGTGACACATTTCAAGTTACATTTAAATGTAACCGCTGAAAAGCTATAATTAACGGTGAATCTCGTCATACCCAAATTCTGCCAAAAGAAATTCCGTATTGTTCGAACATCATTAATATTATTATTATTTGCGAATTCCGCGACAGCTCATTTCAATGCGTTATGATAATTGTCTTATTGGATTTGGTCTGTTGTGGTTTGCGCACAAAAGCCAGTAGTACAAATAATATTAGCGTATATGCACCTCTGCGTATAAATAGAGGGTTATGTCATCGCGTGGTTAGTGAAACGAAAAAGAAAAACAATTTGCCTCCTATTATTTATTATCCGGCCATGAATCGCATTCTTTTCGCTGCGCGTAGGTGTACAATGCTCTTGTTATCCCAACACTCACACATACCAACAATTCAGTTTCGCTGAAAGAAAATCATCTTCGATCATCTATTCAATCTTTGCTGGACCTGAACGCGTTTCACTCTCGTGAATTAGTCAGTTTTCTCTTTTATTTTCGAAGGAAATTGCCTGTCATTTGAATCAATAATTGCTATACGTCTATTTAAGAAATCAGGTAGGACTTGATAGAGTGGTACACATAAATGCGTCTTAATTGCGAACGATAACTGCTCGAGTCAATTAAATCTGAAATGACCGTAAACAAAGATTTTAATTAAAAGTTTTTGCAAAGCGGAACAATTATTATTTTTGTACAAATATTGTATTTGCTCTATACTTTATTCGAGTATTATCATGAATTATTCATGTTTTTAAGAATATGTAACTTAATTATGTGAAATAACAATATTAGGTTGATAATTGGGATATTGCTTGGATTCATCACCCGGAAATGAGAAAAATACCGTGAATTTAATTTGCTTTAAACAATGAAACTGTCAAAATTATGTTAATAATTATTGAATATAATGTTTTAGGTATTCTACAACTGTTGATTTTAATAAGTGTTACTTGCGAGTTATTCATTACTACTACTACTACTTTATGTATCGATCCATACATTTATATTTACAACATAATTGTTGTGATAGTTTACTTAACTGTTTCCGATAACACTGGACATATATTTCAAGTAGTTCCGCTACCAATATAATTAGTCATGTATAAATAGATACAAACTTAGAGAATTGTCACGGTTGTTTATTTTCTAGAGAATTAAAAATTTTCTTAATTTTACAACTTAGACAATTCAGGAGAAAATCCCTAATAAATTTGTTAATGATTTATTTATTCATGTACTACTTTCTGCTATAATATCTTAAATTATTCACGTGTGGGTTTTGATCGAATGCATGGACCAAGCAAGTCAATAATAATGCCAATTATTGGTTTGTTATATAATAATGTTTAAATTATACATAATTTAAAACTTATTGTAATAATTCTCAGGGTAAAAGGATAATTGTAGTTTGCTTATTTCTTAATTTTATATCTATAACATTTTTTTTATAAGAATGTTCTGTTTTTGTTTAAAAGTAGTTATTGAAGAGGTACTGTCATTAGATCCCCACTAATTAGCAACGATCCGTAGGCGCGATGACCGCTCCCACCATTGAGTATTAGACAGATCAGTAGTTAGTGTTGAACCAACGACGTGAGCGGCACGCAACTAGAAAGAAGATATCTTCGCAGCGAGAATTGCATGTAGTTTTCATAAACAATTTCAAATTGCGAATTATGATGTTCAAACTGTTTGTGTAATTAATAGTATGGTGCTAACTGTGGCTACTGTTAGCTCTCTTTCGAGTTGCTACCAGGATGGAGTGTATAATAAATCGAGCGATGGAATTGGAGTATCTTTGGTTACATTTTACGTGAGTAGATGAACGTATTTATTCAAGAATAATGGATGGATGGATCCAACCAAATTTATAATGCTTTTACGTATGCATGAAATAACACAGAAAAAAACAACGTGGGCAGTTTGAGAGGTATGGCGATACGTTACATCAATATAGAAATCGCTATTATGCGTGTGATGTTGCAAACTGGAAGTTATTTTAATTAGTGCAGCAGCCCAGCTGTGAGCAGCAATTAACAGCATTTCGGGTTTGGGCTTTTGCAGTTTCTAGTAAGTGGTGTATATGATTACGAGTCAATGAAAGTTGCATGTAATGCCAATTTCACGCACGAATTATTATTAATTTTATTTACTCATGGTATTTTACCCTTCTTCCAGGTATTATATAACCAATTATTAAGATTCTGTGCTACATTGCTGCAATTGATAGAAATCTGTTAATGCTATTTGTATCATTATGCAAATTGCGATGCTGTTGCGGAATTATTATTGTTGAATAACTGATGAGATGGGCAAGTTGTTACGCCGTCTTCGAGACTTTATGCAAAATAAGTTATTTTAGAAAATGCTCCTTCACCTATTACTCAAAACACGAGTCTCGTATTCATATGTAATGTAAGTAAGTTGTTGTAACTTTCATCTAAGCCCGCAAATAACATGCAATCAGCATATGAATGCAGCATACCTTTTTCAAAAAATACTATTTGCATAGTAAACGCACGTGAAAAAAATAAGTAAAGAGAAACTGATTTTGCCGTCTCTCATTATCCACGGATGTTGTACCCTGAAGATTTCCGTTTTTGAAAACAATCTGTGGGGCACGTGGCCAATGTCTATTGGTCGGCGACCAATAAAATCCCCCTCAGCATTTATTTCCGTTCACCTTACTGTACAAGGAATCAGAAACAATTTTAGCCGAGTTAATTTTGTAAAAGGAATTCATCTCATCCAATAGCTCAACTGTCTATTGTTATATTTAAATGTGCGACTTCTAGATACTGTTGTTGTCTATGAATGATGATTATGTAAACTACGAATTGAGCTTTTCTTCCGTTTGGACAGTGCGCGCGGAATATATTAGTTTGTTAATAAAATTGCACGACCAATAGGTAGGGAATAGCAATTAGTTTGAATGCGCGCCTGATGATATAAATGAAGATATTTGTGTGGTTGAATGGATTGTATGTATGATGCTGGTGGTGGTTATGAGCGATGGGAATCTGTGCAGTTGAATAGACCCATCAAATCGCGGTCGCTTTGGCTGCTCGCTACATAATGTAGGTGCAAAGTGGCTAATTAATAAATTAATTATTAAAGTGATTTCTCTTAGAAAACAGCTGTTGTGGGATTCACGTAAAGGCACGTACGTTGCACGTTCATCATTTTAGCAGCAGTTTAGTATCTGGTGCACCAGAGACTATTAGTTTAGTATTGGTGTATTAATTGCGTATTTTGTCATAGTTGTTTTATGGCAGAGCGAAACGCGAGGACGAGAAGGTTGTTAGAAAGAATAAAATACCTGTCTGCCCACCGGTCGATCCTTATACGCGATACCTGGCATTACTCAATGATCAACACATTCATGGAAATGAATTGGGCACGAATATCATAATAAAAACGATAAATAATGAATTTGACATTTCAACCAAAAAAAACACATACACATCTAATCAACAATAGTATTTATCTGCTGATTCTATTATTGTTTTGGTATGGCAGATGAAGAGTTTATGTCTTTGCTTTCTTCCGACGTGTAGCACTTTAAATAAAGACCATGTGTTTTTTGGAAGGACGACTGGCGCCCACGATATTTGGTTAAGTTAAAACAGAAAGTGCGGTTGATGCTGCTTCTACATATATATATATATATATACAAAAGTTGCGGTATGTTCTGAGCGCGCATACCATTATGTGTGCATTACACCTAATTCTATTCGATTTGCCTGCGAATTGGTTACAAGCAAATTTCGACCTAGATGCCAACTACCGAATCGGGAAAACTGGCTAAATATTAACATCCATACTAGACGCCAACGTATGAACGATTGCGTCATTTGTCATATAGGAGGTATAATGCATGTAGCATGTAATTACAATAATTTATTGTTCTATCTCGAATGAATGTTTTCACATTTCAAATGAGGCTTCAATTAAATATGAAAAACCATTAAGGAACACAGCGCTTTAACAATATGCACGTGTGAATTAATATCAGATCAGAGTTGTTTCGTGTTCTTCGAAAACGGCGCATGAGAAAAGTTTTGATATTCAAGTAAAGTAAATCCAATTAATTAGGATCCTTGCTGCTTGCTCGGCAACGCCGTTCCTGTTACCGTTCGCTCTTCAACAATTAACAATAATAATAACGTTCAGTTTCAACGGATGGTTCAATGTTCTTACAGACCCGCCGCTATGTACAGAAGCAGAGGAGCGACCAGTAAGTCGCGCTCTCTGGAGTTAATTTAAGATCTATTTGACCGACTTGGAGCAACCATCGTTTCTAAATATGAAAACAAATTGAAATTCAGTTTTCGACTGGTTCGCTGAATATTAACAACATCTTGTAGCCTTGCCCACCGGAAAACAACAATCTGTATATTTGTACTTGTATACTTATATGATTCACAATTGGTTTCCCGTAATCGCCTATTGCGTTCTTTGATTGCTGGTACAAAGAAATGTGAGAGAAACTAGATTTTCTTAAGAATTGATAGGTTTTCTCTAATGTGCGTGAACTCAAACTTGTTTTGTCAAGATTGCTTTTACTAAAATAGTCTTCAATGCATATATATAGTCGGCGTGGTTCATGTACTTTTGGATTTCGTATGGAGGGGAAGTCGGTCAGTGGCTGTTTCGGTACATTACATGTTTATACAAGTGTTCACGGGAATAAAACGTAATGAATATTTCAAATATTTCATTAAAAATAACCATTGTATTTAGTTTTTAATACTTTAACAATGGTTAATTGTCAAACGATATTTATTTAGTAATTATCCTAGTTAAAATAACAGGTGTAATTGATTATAAAGTTCGTTTTCGAATTGCGCATTTGAAATAAAAAAAAGAAGATTGTTGACAAATGAGCAAATCTCGTTACGCAGATCGAAACGAGTACGAGTTAACTAATGAGTATCTTTAGTGAGCCTGTAAATATCTACGGCTACGTACTTACATAGTAACGAGACAACCTTGAAATGATAATTGCATAAAAAGCAGATCGTCGTGTGACAAAGTTGAATTGTGGTAAATGCCTGTCGTTTGCGAGGTGAAGGAAACAAAAAAAATAAATACGCACGTTTATTTCTGTTGTCAGACTCCGGTGCATCCGACTTAAAAGCATTTCTGTTCACAGGAAAAGCATATAATTTTCAGTTTTCATTCGCTACCAATTACGCGCTATTGTTCCATGAAGGTCGATGGACAACAAGAAAAAGAAGAGAGGAATAAGTTTTATTGGAAACTGCATAATTGTATAATGACTGGCCTCGGTGGTTATATTAAACACGGAAACGATGAATCAAATATCTTAAAGATTTTACGTTAGTATTCAAATATTTATTGCATGACTCATTTTTAAGAATATAGGTTTATTCGGACAGCATATGTGACATGGATATGCGTGTAACCATGTGTTTAATGTCGGCTATTGGGTGAATTGTATAAGAAGTGAGAAAATATACATTGTATTGAATATATTGTAGTCATTTCATTCATCCTCGTGCATTTTCAACGCGGTTGATCGTAAGCGTTTATTAGGTATTCCGAGAAAGTACCATCACGCTTGTAGTTGTTTTCTTATTGCCGATGGAATGAGTAATATATGCCGTCTTTAGTACTAGTATTAAAGCATAATTCTTTTAAGAAGCCAATGCTTATGAAAATTTAGTCACCTCCCATAACTTAAATGTAGTAACTATAATTATGTACATTATTTAATGATGCTGCACATCTTCAATTATATTAATAAATGATAAATCAAGCGTATAAATAGAAGTTACTATATGTTTATATTATAATTAGTGAAAGTCCAGTAAATTATATGAGATGACGGAAAGACGGTTAATTAACAATAAAAATTGTTAAATAAATATAAGAGTTTTTTTCAATGTGATGTTATAATTGTCTTCTTTTAAGCAGTTGAAATAAGTGTGATCAAACCATCTCATCCATTACTTTAATCTGGGAAGCTGTTAACCATTCCATCATATTTTATTGAGAACAAGACATTGTTAGTAAATTTGGCAGCCTACAACTATCTACTCTTCTTAATGAGAAAAAATGAAGAGAATGAGGCGAGAATGAATTCCTTTGTTAGATGAGCTTTGTGTTACTTTTGGCTTGGATTAAAAAGTGTCGCAAATTGTTTATCAAGCGCATCAAATCATTATAAGAGACGTGCCAAATATAAAACGTATACTCAATACTATTTACATGTAAAATTGTCAACTTATTGAGACATCAATAATTCAATCAGAATTTATCTGTTTTTCATTTCCTGGGAAGAAAACAAAAACTAATGAGAACGAAGGTTACCAGGAAGGCTATAAATGTAAATGCCAGTATTTTATTTACGTACGTATATGTAATTGCTTTAGAATTTTATTGAAAGAAACTTTAACTAGTGCATTCGTAAACTATATATATATATTTCATGTTCTTCTCATATCTTTCATTATACCATGTTCAACAACTGCTAACTTTAGATTTCATCGTATAAAAAAATAGGTCATCGGTAGATCGATATTTAAAGGGCTGAAATTTGGGTGAAAGTGACCTCAGTCAAAAGGTTTCGTGTTCAGACGTTATCAAAAATTCGGCATTGACGTGAACTAGATAGTAATTAGTAAAATGTATACTGCAATTCATTTCAAACTGTATTTTAAATAATTGATGCAATTCGCTAATACGTCTGCCAAAACTAATATAATATGAGCAGCTGAGAAGTGCTGATTTGGAATAAGGAAATGGAAATGAAAATAGACGCGTCCATTATGCATGTTTGTTTAATAAACATTACCTTGGTATTTAGGGCAATATTGTATTAAACACTCTAGGAATAGACACGAGTGCAATATTTGTATTGGAAATGAACCAGTAACCACTTAATTAACATGATTTTGTAGCTGTGCGGCATTCAAGGATTGGTCAATGTAAATACACACAAACTAATGTTTATAAACATAATGCCTAACGAGTATATTTATATTTGCCGCTGAAGACGTGATATAATAGGACTTAGTTTTGTTGATTTACATTTGTTATGTATGAATTTCATGCAGAAACTGCAGTGGCGATGTTTATTTACATGTGCATACAGACATATTAAGTCGGCATTAAGGAGACAACGACCTCGACTGGGGAAATCAATTTGTTGGAGAATGTGTAAAAAGCTTGCGAACAACGTAACATGATTATTATTATTATAATCAATGTACTATTGCACTTATCGTCTAATTTTCACTTAAACATAATGACCATTACTAACGTGAACGTAAAATATATTTGTTTGTTGTAATCAAACAATAAGCAGTATTTTATAATACTGTATTTCGAATTTTCTTCATTTTGTTTGGCGATGCACCAAGACCATTACCACAAGTAAATATTTATCTTCTAACGTGTTTATGTTAGAAAAGATGATAGGATGGTTCGGGTGCGGATGGAGTAATAAAAAGGGAACACTGAATGAAATCGCATTTAAATTTGTTTTTGATTTTCATTTTATAAATATTTTCCGGATTTATTTCATTTTTACCATCACAAGAACAGGTTAACTATGAGTGCGAGATGCTGTATAGGTGTAATTTAGTAGGATGGAATGCAGGTTGGGCAGGTGAACGCGGAACAAGTCTAGAAAGCTTCAATAGCTCCACGGGCTAAATTAGAAAGAGAATCACAAGGCGCAATTACTCTAGAAGAGACCGAGGATTTCAGACTATCATCATATTTTCCAATTAATTTCTATGCATATTAATTATCGCTTGTTTTTATCTTCTTTCGTTTGTTTGCAGGCAAAGCAGAGAGCGTTCGTGAAATGGCTGCTGTCCAAGGCGTTCAATAACGATGTGCCTCAGCATCTTCGTGAGCCCTTCTACAAAGACTATGAGAACCAGGAACACCTTAAGCCGCAGATCGTTGGGGCCTTGGCGAATGCGGACATGTATTGCCAGGCCCTGGGCAACATCTATTCGGATCCGAATTACCACAACTTCAATCACGTTTCCATTCAGCAGCTGCTCGTCCGCAAAGGGGTGTTCGTCGCCGATCACAACGACTCCCAGTACACAGAAACCAACCTAATACAAACGAATCCACTCCGGATGGTAAGTTGCTTTCCGTGTGTATAAATATTATCACTTGGAATGTAAATAAACCGAAGTTATTTTCCCGTGTAAACATGAAACTGGTTTATTGTTTTCTGTGCTCTGAGATGTGCTTATTCTTCGTATTCAATTCAAGTTTTAAATGGCATGCAGTCCTAATTAACTGCAATTGCGAAAATAGTAAAAGAAAATCTAGTATACAAAATAGTAATATCGCATTAAAGGTAATAGATGAGTTGCGACTGAGAGAGCTTGCTTGTATCGCATATTTTCTTTTAGTACGAGGAGGGCTTTCTGCCTGCTTGTGCTTGCTAGACCGTACATGATATATGATTTCATATGTACCGTAATTACGCCGGGGTATTTTCTGCAATAAATATGTTTAATTATAGATTTATATATAATTTATGGTTATATTTATATATAAAAAAATATAATTGATATAATCTGTAGATGAATTTACGTAAAATAAAATCTTGGTGTTGTTAAACAAGTTTCGATCCTACTTCCGGTCTATTTTGTTGGATTTAAAGAAGAAAGTTTATTATTATTCTTTATATTATATAAATCTTGATTACTAGTATTTTACTAAATATTTATATTTTATTTCAGAGTGCACATATGGTGGTAGTGGAATCTATAATGGTGTTATATGCCAAAGAAGTGGCGACATCCGACCGTGTTGCTGCTGCTGTTCAGCGGTTTAGCAATGGCAGAGAGGGAGATCATGGTGTGCCCGAGTATCATGAACTCAGCCTTTTATATTGGGTAGACTATGCGAATAACGCTTTAATAAAACGAGTCACCGAAGATATAGCTGAAGGCCGCGTAACCAATGGTACGGATCGCAGTAAATCGTTGGACATCCCCAACATAACGAAATGGAGGGATCTATGCGATGGCATCGGAATCGCCGGTCTGATCTCCTATTATTGTCCCGAGAAGCTGCTCTGGTCGAAAATTAAAATATCCGCGCTGCCCACTGTTCCAGAGAGTTTGCACAATTTACGACTCGTTCAAGACTTTTGTTCTCAATGCTTACCAGCCAATGTGTTTCACATGATGCCTGAAGACATAACGTACATGAGAGGGTAACGTGTTTCTTTATTTTCTCTTTGCTTCGAACCAAAGTCTATTTTGAATCTGTGTTCTAGGTCTATGAAGCAAATACTGATGGTCTTTCTAGCGGATTTATTTAATTTCTTGGAAATCCATCCTGTCGATTGTGTACGCTATCCTGGTATGGAACGGGCGTCATACGGTGAGTTTGCAATCTTACTTATTATCGTTTTACCCGTTTATGACCCGTTATTCTATTTTTTTTTGCTGCTTATGATTTTAATTCTTGCTAAGTTTCTTTGTTTCTGTACACCATGAAAAGAAGTCATGTTGAATTATAACTGTAGGGCTCATTTGCATAGCACAAGGAATTGACTTTTCCAAACCCATATTAATGTGTTGTACGCTAGTGTATTCAATTGTTGTAACATCAATTTGGTGGTGGTTTTATGACTATTTGAGTTGTATTAGAGTAACAATGGTTAGGGGAGGAAGAGGATAAGTTATGCAGTTCTACTAGATTATGATTTATGAAATGAGTGTTAAGTTGTAATTCTCGTTCTGTTGTTCTCTTTTCTGATCTCTATTTTTGGTAACTATTTTATTTTTTCGGACCTTTTTGTCTGTGTGTGGTTGTTGTGTAGAGGGTTTCCCGGCGCGTAATGCCCACGGAGTGGCGCACAAACGCAACCTGCCACCCACGGTCATGACTCCCATACCTGACCTACGGAGTGGTCTTGACGACATCGTCGCACCACAACCATTCCAAGGTAAAACTACCAAAGGATGTGAGATAAAGATTATAATATGTGTATCAAAATATCAGCAGAGCAAGCTAGATTCATCTTCGATTTTTTTATTTCCTTATTTTTTATTTGTTTTCATTTCTTTGTTCCTATTTTGAAAAGACAATTCAATATTAATACATACTTGCATCACATGCATCATTGTGTGAATCACCATGATTTTTCGTAGCATTTTTTTTTATATTTTGTTCTTACTTATGATTTTAGTGCATCATTTTTAGTTAGATAACATATCTTTAGACATAGTATGATATCATTATAGGAAATACTAGAAGAGAGCTTTTTATATATACATAATATAAATAATTGTTATCTTCACTTCTCTAGTCACTGTTGTAACTCGTTTCAATGTATTATTTTTACTCTCTTGCAATCTTTACAAGTTTATTTGTAAACACCGTAAACAATGCCCACTGTTTCATCCTTGTCAGATATCGTAGATGCACTTTACATACAATGGTTCATTTTGTTTATTTATATAGTAACATTAATTCGGTTATAATGATAATTATATGGTTGTAACACAATTTTATAATTACGATTAATATAAGATTTAAACGCATTTATAACGATTATTAATAGACTTTGTCTAGGAATGTTACTACAGTTTTTTTTAAATTATCGTACGTCATCGGATAAACCGTTCAACTTTAATTACAACAATAATTGACCCAAACATTAATATAATTTTTGTTTATAAATCTTAGTTTAGATATTGCATCAACTTTTTTTCTTGTCGAATTTATTTATATATTTAGGTTGCATGGCACACCGTATACGTGTATTTCTATTAATGAGAGTGTATAAATCACTAAAATATTTTTTTCTTTTTAGTATAAATATCAAATCCCACGATTTGAACCATTTCGGTTTGTCTTTAAAATGCTTAAAATAAACATATTATAATACGACTTAGTGCATCCATGACCATGGGTGGATAGGGTAGATGTTTTTAGTTCTGTATTTGAAATGGGCTAACTACCTCTACAGATATAATTTATAGGACGAAAACGGTATCATTTGTAGTTCAAATTACCTTGTTTCTTTGGAATCTGCTCGAAAGCTTTTCATGAATAATTATTTTAAAGCTTACACTGACATAGACATTTCCCAGTGCAAATGGGATTTTTTTTTTAAATGGAAATATTTTTTTGCAAAAGCAAATTTTTATTTTCAATACTCTAACCATATTATTATTTTTGTAAAGGCGTGTAAGCTTCATGTAGTTTCGTTTGTTCAGAATATTTAAATTTTGAAAAAATTGCATTTCTAAATATCAACTGATATAATTCATTATAGAACTTCATATATTTTTAAATTTACATCATCATATGCATGTTTTTTTTTTTTAAATATCAACCCTCATTTCTGATCGTAATATAACTGCGCATTTGCATGGCTTTCGCTTATCACTAATAATTGGTATTTTTTGTAGCTTAATATAAATATTTTAAAATCTCTGGATTATATTTTGTTAGTATCTCGTACTCCAACGCACCAGCCATTGAGAAAGACTAGTTCATTGCAACATAGTGTTTCTGAGATGAGTGAGGATAGTTTGAGGCGTGGATCCGAGGATTCGTTCGTTGTCCATCGTGGAAAGAATATACCGACGTTGAATTCGATGATAAACGATGAGCCCTTAGTGCCGGCACGACTACGTGCCAACAAGGAAAAGATGAATTCAGATACCAAAGCAGATGAACGGGGCGATAGCATGGCGGCGGGAAGGCCGAGCAATTGGAACGAGAACAAAAGGACCTATGCTGGTCGACGGTCCCGTCGCAACTCTGTTTCGGATGACTCGCAGCTCACAATCGAAAATTTTGGTGGTAGTCAGGATAATCTGAATTTCATTGGAAAAAATCCGGATAAAGAGGTTTGGAGTTTATACTTGCTTGGAGTATATGTATGCACATATTAAAGTTTGTTTCATCCCCATAGGTAGGAGCACACGTTGGTCGTAAAATCTCAGCACCGGCCCCTCCAATCCCATTTGTTAATAATCCTGCTGTTCGTTCGACATTGCAAGATGCCCGCGGTTCTATTCAATTGGGCTATGACAATGGTTGCGAAAAACACGAGACTGAACGAGAAAACTTTAAACTGAAACGTCAACTGAGTAGTGATGACATGACACTACGCTCGATGCAAGAACGTAACAAGGAAAATATGGTACAAGATGTTATCGATGGCGAAGCTAACAATAGGATGTCTTTTGCTGATGTTAATAAAAAAGATCCTGGTGGTAAGAGTAACTGATATGACTGATAGTACTTTTATATTAACATTATTGTTCTTATTCAGGTATTCAACTAGTCTATATGCAACAAGACAAGGAAGGGTTTCCTTCGAAATCCAGTTTTAAAACGAACGGTAACGCCGGTGCCACTGAAAAGAAGACCACAACATTCGCAACTCTTCCGAACACGACCACGTGGCAGCAACAAAGCTCTCAGCAACACGTGGAACACTCGATCAATAGAAGCACCTCCGAAGATTCGAGAATCGGTGGAAATGATCATATAGTCACATCTCAACTTAGTGATATACGTATGAAGCTGGAAGAGAAACGCAGGCACATCGAGAACGAGAAGCGGAAATCGGAGATGGAAATGAACAGACAACGATTGAAAGTCGGAAATGCTGCTTTTCTGCAAGCAGTTGTTAAGGTGAGAAATCTTTTTTTTTTAATTTATTAATTGATCACCATGAACACCAGAATTTGCTTGTACTAATTTCTTCTTTCAAACACGTTCATTTGGTGAATGGTCTATATTCTAGTGAAATTTCTTTTTAAATTCCAGCTGTCTGAAATGGTAAGGTGCAGGTTGTTGTTGCACTATTATTTATTTCAAACTCGTTTATTTTGACATTATTTAGATAGTTTTTGTTTGCTACATGATACACAGGGACCAAAGCAATATATTTATCATGCATATACAATAGTTAGTAAATGAAGTATTTTAAATTATAAATTGCGCATATGATTATATTATATGTTCATATATACACATGAATTAACATTTTAATACAAAATGTGGTATATGTGATTAACAATAAAACCATCCCTGTGTATCCATTAAATTATTTTTGCGTTAAGATTATTTTGAAAAATTCTGATTTTCATTTATCTATAAACTTAAGCTGATTTTCATTTACATTTTCTATTGTTAATTCAGATCAATTATTATTTATAAGTATTAAACAAAATTGCATGTCGTTATACTTATAAAAAGTTAAGAAAGTACAAGAAACATATAATTCAATTATAAATGACCATTAAATGTAATTTTACGTAAACTTAGATTCGGATATTTTTAATTATTTTTGATGGATTATTATTATACATAGAGAATGTTGTGTGTATTTTCTTAACTCTGTCTAGTGAGATTTATTATTACTTTGTTGTAGATAGGTGTTCTATTTCGTTTTATTTTTTTGTTTAAAAAGAGGTTTTCTTGCATCCTTTTGTAATGTTCAGTTATGTTGTTGCAATCTTCGACGTCTTTTTCTTGATATTAAAAATATCTATTTGTTGTCTTTATGTGGGTGACGGTGTCAATGATTTTTTTTGCAGGGTAAAAGTGGAATAGTGAAGTCGTCTTCGGACGCGATGGTGGATAGTTTGATGGTTGGGGGCGGCGGTTCTGTGCCGAATAGCCCTACACAGGTAATCGCGGCTGCCCCCGCAGAACCTACTGCTGGGCCTAGTGCCCCAAAGTCACACACCTCGCGACCCCTAACACTGAAGGTACAATTATTTCTTACTTCTTGCACGTCTTATTAACCGCACTCACTCAGTTACTATCCTATTGTTGACTAATACTGCTTTAAGACTATGTGTGTAGTTAAACTTAGTACATAATTTGATTTGTTTAAACTGTAAAGTAATGGGCTGATCTGTTTACTCAGAAATGTGGATTAATATATATATATATAGTATCAGTGTTCGATTGAGATAAACTGATAATACACTTCTAGAAATTACTATTCTTTCCAAATTTGATATAATTCAGCTTATGTCGGCAGTCACGAGTATTTTTTGACCGTTTTATTTATTGACAATGTACCGTTACAAACAGGATGAAATTCCTAACACGGAGATGAAGTGGATGGATGAAAACCAACCTTTTGTGGAGAACCGCCGGACACCAGACATGGATAATATGAATATGGATACTTATCAGCAATCTATCAAGTGAGTTATCTGACGTTTTCATCTATGGAGGAATGCGTAGTTTTCGTTTTTTTTTTAAATTGAATTATTATTTTAGTTTCGTTTCTAATTTATAATTGTTTTAAAATATGTAGTTCTGTTGTGAATTCTAGTCTCCAAGATATGCAGCGTCTGGCTTCGCATCAACACCAAATGCAGCTGGCGGCTCAATACTACGCACAGCACAATCAACTCCTGCAACAACAATTAGTTCAACAGCAATTATATAATCAGCCACCGATGTATAATCCTCTTCAGTCATCGGCGAGTGCGCCGCACATCCCACAATCGCTCTACCAGCAATCGCGTCTGCAAAACGAACCTCAATTCTTCCTCCACGGCCAACAAGAATCTCCCGTCCCTCAGTTAGTGGCTCCACAAAGACGCACTTGGTCCCAACAACCACAGCCGACGCCGCAGCCACCACCACAGATTGTTCATCCACCAGAAACATACCAGCAGCCAGAGATGCGCACTTGGGCTAAACCACAAAATCCAAATGCCTTCATTTTGCACGACACCAGTAGTGATCGGTAATTGCTTTTCAATCATTTTCATTCAATTTAACATCGATCGCTTACCGATACCACCGATCTTGATACATATTATTATTATCTTTTTTTAGTTACGACAAATATCATGACAATAGATACCATAATGGAGGTGGCGATCATAGTATGAATCATAGCGCCGGTTCTGCAAGTGGTTATACGCTAAGTCAACAACACCAGTTGTACGGCAGTCATTCAAATACACCAAGCACGTCACCGCAACACCACCGACAACACCGTCAATTATCCCAATTGATGGAAGCAAAACGCTCTTCGCCGGTTTCACTCCAGAGTATGGAGCCCGTCCGACCTGAACGCAAGAGCAACGTGATTCACGCCCCGATACCTGCGCCGCCTGCAGATGATATGGAGCCGCAGAGTATATCATTCATTGGAAAGGACGAACAGAACACCGAAGGTCTTAGTCGTTTGAATATTACGTCTGGTAGTAGGACATATCGGATACCATCACCGACGAGGCCATTGATAACACGTAACTCGTTTCAACCGTCACCATCACCACCCCTTTTAGAGAGATCTGCATCGCACGCCGCCGATATTAGCAGCCTTGACAATCGATCCGATCCAAGTAGCCAGAAAGGATTTTATATTAGTTTTGATAACGATGCACCGAAAAGACCTAAACCTCCACTGCGGACCAAGAAAGGTACTGCATCACCGCGAAAAGAACGAAGTTATGTAGAAGATGATGACCCTACACGTGATCGCGAACGAGAGAGAGAAGCTATGGTAATATTGTTAATTAGATTTTAATTGAATTGCATCATTGTTATGTGTTATTTGTTATGCAGGTTGAAAAAAGGAAACAACTAGAAAGAGAGTTAGAACATGAGCGACTGAAGAAGGAATTGGAGGATAAACGAAGATATGAAAAGATGATGGACAGACAGAACCGGGAAGCGACTAGTCATGAAATGGATAAGGTTAACGCTGCATCGGCGTTGGTTATTGGAAACGATCTCAGCAATCCTGATCCAGTACTATTCTCAAAAAAATGTCTATATTCTATTAAATAATACTTTAATTTCTCATTGTAGGATTTAATAGATGAGAGGGAAAAGAAGAAAGAACGCATATTATTGATGTCGCTGCAACGCAGGCAAAAACAAGAAGAAGCAAAAGCGAACAAAGAAGCAGAAACACAAGCTCGAAGGGATCGGGAAAAGGCTAAGGAAGATGAGAAGCTGCGGAAAAAGGAAGAGCAGGCAGCTAGGAGACAACTTATACTCGAACAGCACAAAATGAAAAAAGCTATCGAAGAAGCGGAGCGGGAAGTAAGTACACATAAATGTTGTTTAATAATAATTGGAAAATGAACAAATACGCTCGTATATCATTCCATTAGTATGGAGAACTTAGGTGCAAACTGCAATAAGAAATTAATAATGCAAGCGGCTTATAGCCCGCGTTCTCTCACTCGAGGTGGTCTATTTTTGTCCCACTTCCTTATTTTAGTACGTCGACACGACGTATTTACTTTTGTTTTATTTCCGACAAGTTTATGAACTCGGCGGTGCAGTATAAGAGTATCTCTCCACCAGCATAAACAGTAAACACAGTCTGACTCTTTGTGTAGAAAAATAAGTATATTAAAATGTCTTTTATATATTGGTCTATGGTACGTATGTATTCTTGGTCACATTTAATTTATATTTTATATAAACTGATGTTTTAAACTATTATTTATCAGATTTTGTTTTGTTTTGTTTCTATAGGGCAAAGATGTTGATAAATCTCTGCTGAACTCGTTGAAAGGTGTACCTAAGTTACGCGCTAAAGGTTCAACCGCTAGACCTCGTCCGAAGACGATTCATATCGATAGTGGATCTGTTGAGATGGCAGAGGGAATTGGTTTACAACCATCTCGTGGCAAAAAAGGTTCCAGCTCGAACCTCACTGGTAAGTTATTATTACGGAGAACGCGAGAGTATTGTGTTTAATTAATAATTAACTACATGTAGCCTACCTATTAAATATGCATTCGCGATTAAATTGATTACATTACCCTCATCTTCGCATGCAAAGTAAAGGTGAAAGTGAATGGGCAAATGACCTAAGTCAATATTTGATGTTATAATTAATTTACTGAAACAATTTCGAGGGTTCGTTATTAAATGCAAATATTTCGTTATTCGTTGCAGAGGTAGGCTACTATGTATGGGCTTCTGCACCAATACCTCACTCACCTTATTATAATTTGTTTGCGTTTTTTAAATTTTGATTTGAATTTGTTTTTGTTTTGATTTCTTTTAACTTTAGCTAATTCATACCATTCATCCACTATGAAACGGGACTATTACAGAGGCTCTCAAGACAGTTTAGCTAGTAGTGGATTGCTATACAAAGGTTTGTTTGTTTACCATTTTTTTTTTCGTTGTGATATTACGCGATTTATTTTACAAGAACAATTGCTCCTACAAGTAGATGTGCTAGATATGAAAGTACATTGCACATTTCTCTCATTCTCATTCCTACTGAATTTTTGCTTTCTCCTATCCTTAAGCATTTGTATTCGTTTGTGCATTGTCGTAGTTTCTATAAATAATATATTCGATAAAGAAATGAAGTGATAAGCATAAGATTGTTTTGGTTACACTGCGCCAATACATTTTTATGTTTTTTTTTTAAGTAAATAGTTTTGTTTTTTGTATTAGTTCAGAGAGTAATTTTAAATGTTTATCTTCATATGTTGTTACGATGTCTCGTGTAATGTGTTTGCCAATCTTCTATCCCTTGCAGATTCCCCAGACGACAGCAGGGGAATGTCTCCTTGTCATAGTGCAAACCAGACATTGGGGCGCCGCAGTTCATATAAGACTTCCCGAGGTTTGTATTAAACATTTTTTCCATCAACCACCACCACCAATCTTCTACATACAAACATAATCATTGAATCATGAAACATGAAAAAAGAACAAAACAATACAAGAAAAAAAATATATGAACCTCCTGCCACCTCTGTATACATATTCCACTCTTTTGATATGTGTGTAGCATAAATTAGTGTGTTTGTTTGCGCGCAGCACGTCTATTATTACTTTTATTATTATTATATACCACTATCTTATCTATCTTACCTTTCGTAACTTTCTTCCCATTTCATTCAAAATCATCACATTTACTTTTCGGAGCATTGTGCGAAAACAAACGTTGAATATGAATGAATTGTGTTCTAAAAACAAAGATGCGCGCCTTTTCATAACGAAAAATGAAGCCGTGTTTTGCCGTGTGAAAAAGAATGGCGGGCAAAACCAAAGTATCAAAAGAGATGTTTTGAGTGGAATGGAGGTTGTAGGTTGTATGTATATGTAATTTGCAGACCCGTCACCGGCACAGACCCGAGGAAGGCCTAAGTATTCCACTTATCAAAACTTTAAAGGTCGCAAGTCAAACTCTATGATGAATCTGTACGGTAAGACTACCACAAAAAAAAAATAAACAGAACAAAAAAAAAAGTTAAAGACAAAATATTTATTAAAAGAAACATTCATTCATTTTTGTTTTTTTATTTTCTTATTATTATTATTATTACTGTTATGTTTCTAATAGTATCCTTCTCTCTTTGTCAATGTCTGCTGGATTGTCTTTTTTATTAGCTTACCCGTTTATTAATTACTTTTAATTTCAATTTTTGTTCTGTATTCTCGTCGACAAGTGTCGGCGTCTTCCTGTTTATTATTTATTTTAATTAGACGTGGTGGTTGTTTACCGTAGATAAGTGGTGATGGTTTCTTACTTACTTACTTGGCTTGGAATATTTTGGTTTCTGGGTATATTTTCTGTTTAATTTATTTTTCAGATTTTTGTTGGTCTCTTCTCTGTACATTTGTTATGGTTATGTTTAATGAATGATTTGCCTGCTTAGTATAATATACTGTTTTTGCTTCATGTTAATACTACAAAATATCTATATATATACTCGTGATACCGTCATACTTAGAAACAAACTCATTGTTTTTACACAACAACGATGCTAGAGTAATTGAATCTAGCTCATTAGTCTTTTTTTTAAATTTTATTAATTAAACATTTATCGATCTTAATTTTAACCAAGCATAAATTAAATAACAGTTACGTGTCAATAATATACTAAATTTAAATAATATATTCGTGTTTGTGTTAAAAATGTTGGTTCTGGATTTATATGGTGCTAGTCAAAAATTGTTCGGCGATTAGTATCAATATTAATCAAATATTCTTTTTTTGACATTTTGACTAGACTCACTATATAATTATTAACTGTCACTGAGAATCGTTATATGTTTATTTTTCAAATAATTCGTATTTTATATATAATCATTAGGTAACTCAATTTCATAGCAATAGATTTTTTTGTTACAAAATTTTTTGCTTGTCGTGTTACATATTATTTGAAGATGAACATGTTCTATTTCATGTGATATCATTGGTTGTCTTTCTAAAAGTTTTTCTATGTAGGATCCAGTACTGATCAAGATAGTATGGCTTATCGTTTCGGAGATACGGATAGCGGCCTTGGAAGAGCGACTCCTCCACGCAGAGCACCATCTCCAGGTATGGGCCCAGTGCGACACCTGACGTCCCCTTCATCCGGACCCGGGAGTCTTCCAGTCTCGAAGAGGAGAGGTGTCTTTGACGACGGATCTAGTGACATTAGTTCCACCCCTAGTAGCATTTTAGATTATTCAGGTAGCTCACCACTCACAACATCCACATTGCATCGCCCTTGCTAATATTACTAATCAATACTGATCGTCTGATCGTTTGTTATAATAGGTCCAAGACTTTACAAGCAGCCAGCAACGAAATCGAACCGCAGCATAATGCACAATGCTCTCGAGTACTGCGTCTTTCCAGGCGCCGTCAACCGCGAATCCAAACAGCGTATACTCGATTGCATCGCGAAATCCGAGGTTAAGCATTTCCTGTTGCTCTTCCGGGATGCTGGCTGTCAGTTCCGGGCTTTGTACTCGTACTCTCCCGATATGGTGCCCGAGAGGGTGGAAAAACTTTACGGCACCGGCCCGAAACTTGTCGACGACAAGATGTTCGACAAGTTCTTCAAGTAAGTTCTATAACACCGCATCTGGTGGCGGCATTCGACCATCGCTATAACTGTTGTTTTATCTTCTGTGTGCAGATACAACTCAGGTGGCAAATGTTTTGCCCAAGTTCATACCAAACATCTGACTGTGACTATAGACGCGTTTACGATCCACAATAACCTGTGGCAAGGTAAGAAAGTCAATATGCCGAGCAAGAAGGACATGGCCCTCGTCATCTAGTTTAAATATGCGCTTGTTGGTTTGTTTTACTGTACGTTCATTTTATTCGTAATCATTTGTGTCTCCCATCATCCTTCATGATACTCTCCGCAAGTATGTACGTGTTTTATTGCAGAATACAATATTTTAAATTAATATTAAATATAATGCCGGAGGAGAATTTAAAGGACACCGTCAAATTGTTATTTAGTCATCTAATATTGTATTAATTAATATTATTTTCGTTTGTTATGCTTTACTTAAATATTAAGGCTTTATTTATTACTCGTGTTTTCGAATGTCCTTGAGTGTTTTTCATTTGCGAGAAAGGAAAGCCTTCAAATTAATTCATAAATGGATTCACTTTTACTTTTTTTTTTAAAAAAAAAATCATTTTAATTATCGAAGAGGAAAAAAAATTATAAAATAAACAAAAGATGAACTAATTGCCAATGACCCATCGTCTGAGATATTAGTTAGTGCCTACGATATTGTTTGTTTTCTTTTTCTTTTCTTTTAAATTGAAATACGTTTTATTTTAATTTATGATCAAGTTGTATTATTTTTACACATATTTTTTTTATGTAAGCTCTCTTTCTCTCTCTAATTATACTTATCTACACTATTTACCATTGAATTACTTTCTTTTTGTGCCAGTTTTACTGTTTTCATTTGAACGATTTTACTCTAAAATTGCAACAGGGTAACACGTTTTTCATGTGACTTTGAAACGATCTTCGTTTACATATGTCCCTGTTGATTGATGAAGAAACTGCCTTTGCTTTGTTTGTATAAATTTAGGAATATAAAGTCCAGAAGAAAAGGTAACAATAAGAAAAGAAAATAATGTAAATTTATATTTCTTAGTGTCATTCCATTGATTGTAATTTATATAAGATGATATAGTGCGCGGCTGTTATTTTTGTTTTTATTTTGTTTCTCCTTAATTTATTTTAGTTTACTTTGAACTTCCCGCTGATTTTTGTTTAACTAATATTACCTTTTTAGTTTGGTTCACAACCGCTGGAGATTTTAATATATATATATATATTATTATATTCTAAATTAATCGATTTAATGATTGAACTCGGCTTTTAATTGTCTACACGAAATATCGAGAAAAAAAATATTGTTTTCCTTTTTTTTCTTATGTTTTTTTTTATCATTTTTTAACTGGTAACATATTGTAATGCTACTTAACAAACAAAAAAAAACGAGTTAGATAAGATGAATATGCAAAATAATAAAACAAGTCATTTCTCTCCTAAAAAAAAGTATTTTTTATTTTAATAAAGTTTCATTATCAATATTGTAATATTATTATATGTATGATTCTAATATTCAATAACTAATTAATTATATTTCATTATGTGTACATATTATGTTTTTATAATATATTTATTAATTATTATATCGAATAGGAGTTGATATTGGACTCTCATAAATAAAATAAATAACAGTTAATTGAGTTTAACTTATTTTTCCCCCATACGTTTTACGACTTATCTTATGCACATTCGTATCAAGTTGGTTCAGTTTGTAATAACATCTTTATAACTATATCAACTTTTATTATACACGTTTATTTTCTACCTGTCATTAAAAGGATGTGATAGTTAATGTTAAAATCCTTGGTTCAGAATGTCTAGTATATTTGCAATCATATGATCTGCAAAATAAAATAAATAAAAGTAACAATTTTATCTTAGTTATTATATGGAAATAAAATGATTGTTCTCTAAATGGAATAGAAAAGTGTTATTGTAAATAAGTAAGTAACTTTTGATTATACTGGTAAGTATTTTTTAGTAGATTTTTATGGTCAAAATATGTATATTTTATTTATATGTGCAGGTTTTGTATAATTAAACTAGAGTGTTAAGTTTTTAATGCATTTTTTTTTAATTAATATTATGTCATGTTACATGAGATGAGAAAAGAAGCGCTGCAATTAATTCTAAGTTGATTTTTCTAAGTGTGTCTAATGGTCCGAAACATAAGGTTTGAGTTTAAATACAGATAATTTATATTATTTTAATATAAAATCAAAATAACTTAGTATGAATATAGAAACAATGTGTGTTATGGAAATTTTATAAAGTATTCATTGAAATATATTAATATTGTTATCAGTATTCTATAGCATTATACTGAGTTCATTTCATTTTGTATTTTTAATATATAATGCGGAGAGTGAAGTATTATAATAATGAAGTTATTGTGTCGCATAATCATCTTTTCAATGTGATAAATGAAAAGTTCGTCACCCCGACTGTAATCCTGTCGAAATTGAAAAAGCTTTCATAATAGGAGGACGCTTCAGCAGGACAGGTTATCTAAGCGAGATGACAATGAAATGAATACACATGTAGCGCGAAAATCAGATGATTGGGAATTGAATAGTTAATAAGGGATGGGTGGATTCGTTGGGACGAGTGCGAAAATGATGAAAAGATTAGTAGGTTGGCGATGGTAATTGGATTATAATTTTTGGTAATATTCATGGAGCACATGGACGACGAGGTCGCCATGTTTTGTGGGGGGTACTTTTCCAATGTGTGCGAGTGTGTGAAAAGGTGGATCTGGGGATGGCGCACAGGATGCTGGAGTGTGCGCGTCGCGACGCCGGGCGCCGCAGTATATAGTCGACAGCTGCCAGGGTCTAGCGGTGGATCCGGGCAGATATCCGGGGTAACGGTGTGGTGTTTTGCGACGGGGCAGTGATCGCAAAAAAAACAAAAAATAGGAGAAGAGACAGGGAGAGAGAAAGACGTGGTGATTGCCACACAGGTATTGAGAGAGAGAGAGAAAAAGAGGGAAGTTATTGAAGAACAGGTCCGAAGATCCCATCAGGTGAACGGATTCGTTCCTTCCTTCCTTTGCCCGTCCGACCTCCGAACTATCTGTCTTTAACTGTGCGACCGTAAATATTCCGCTAATATGGGATTGCGAGTGTTGAAAAGTACATGCAAAAAAGAAGGATTCTGAGGGACTCCAAGGGAGCGCGCGCGCCCCCCCAGACAACGGTAATTATTAATGATGTGATGCGGGGGAGATTCATATGCGATACGCATCGGATTTCTTTGCTTTAATTCCGTCCGTCCGTCCGTTCCACGACGAGTCCCCCTGGCTAAACATAATCCATTCCTTGTAAAACAACCTGTACGATGCGGATTGATTTTCTCTTCAGCCCAACACATATCAGAGAGAAGAGCAAATAACCCCTCGACGAAAAAGAAACGAAAACCCTTTACGTTACATTGTTATGCAAAAGCAACTTTCTAATTCATGCAAATGTATTTTAAACCAAGATTTCCACCATTAATTTTCCTCCTTCTCGTATTACAATTTCTCATAATATATACTACAATAAAAAAAATAGATAATAATGCAAAAACATATTAATAATTCTATGCACCACGAATATTAATGGATCAATCTACATTTGAGTTCTTCTTGACATTTTCTGAAAACTTCTTTCACCCTTAAAATAAAATTAATTAATTGCGCAGATCCATTTCAATCGCGTGTTTTCATTCTGGATTACTCACTTTTAATCTCTTCGGAAAAATCATTTGGAAAGGTCTAATGATATTCAATAACCAAGTTTTTTCTTTAAATAAAATACATTTTTTAACTATTAGACATAATAATTTAAAAAAAAATGATAATTTAACGGTGAACATATTTCATATTTTATGATATCAGTAGTAATTTTAATTGATACCAAATCTTTTTAATTCTATATGTTTGGAGATGGAAAAAAGTTATCAACTATAAATTATTATGTCAATTAAAAGCACACAAAAAATGGTATATAGAATAAGTGGTTATGATCCAAATTCAATAGAATTAATATACATAAATAATGAAAATTTAACGAGTTAATGTTACATTTATTGTACAGCTGTGATTAATTTCTATATAACAGAGTTTCTCAACCTATTGGTTACTAAATGACAGCTGTCATCTTGCGTCAAAACGTCAAAAAATGAATGTTATAAATAAACTTCAAACAAATATGTTGGGGTCGCGCAGTAAAAAGGTTGAGAAACGCTGCTATTGCTATTGGTGCATACCGTGTATATAATTCCATTGTCGTTTCTGTAATAATCAATAGTTATATGTATCCGAAATTCAATCATCACATTCCCTTGTTTAAATGTGTCTGAATGGGGTTTACGCAATTAGAAACAAATTAATTAATTTATATACGATAATTGTATCGTCCTTCGAGCGGCCAAAATGATCAGAATGCGATCTAAATGCACTAACATGCTGATGAGACTTTGAGTTGACGAGTTAAGAACTTTTAGTGCGAAAGAAGAAATATAAAGTTTTAATTGAAATGATTGATATTAGCATGTTTATTAATTGAGTTACTATTTTCAAATAGATTAAAATAATAATATTTATTTATATCTATTGATATTTCTTGCTGAAGCTGCAAAACAGTAACTAAATTTGTCTGCTATTATGAGTAGATGCTCGACAAGTAATTAAGGAATAATTAAGCGAAGGCGGATCTGAAATCGTTAATTTGCTTTTGTGCGAAATCAAATTGAGGAAATAAAACTAGTTGAATTGACTCAATATGTAATTGAAAATTTGTTTTTATATGTTTCAATGATTTTACTGATGCAGTTATTATTTTATATGTACATGATTTTTCATTTGTGCTGGTATTTCTGTAAGTATTTTTCTAAATAAATTGTCTGGCTCTATACACATTTATTTTATAGAGCAAGATTTACATATTCCATCTTCTTTAAACCTTTTATACTCCATGTAATACAACATCTTCTATTACGATGTTTGTTTATCTTGTATAAGCCATTCACGCGATTTATATTGCAGAAATAGCCCATTAGAATGAATACCATTTATGTAGAAACACATAGAAAGTGTTGGCTCATATGTAACTAAATAGTTTCAATAACAATGTATCAAACTTTACATTTACTGCATATAACAACTAATATATAAAATTATTATTACTTAGAGCTGAAGGAATCGCATATCTTCAATTATAAGTAATTATTTATTAAATTTCATTTTTTGGGTCAAAGTATCAACTTTAATTAAAAATAGCTTTGATAGTTATTTATTAACACATTTTACGTCAAATCAAGTGATATGAATCGCACTGTGATTTAATTTCCGGTAAGAAAAAAAAATGACAAAGTTGTTTTGACAAGGTCTTTGAGATCTAGAACTTTCGAAAATCATCAGATGGATACATTCAAGAAATATTGTCGAATTTCAAGTGTGGTAATATATTTCTACTTTTTATAATTATTTTGTTATACAAACAATACACCTAAATTGGAGTAATTTAAAAATCATTAATGTTGTCAAATTCAACAACAATTTTTGACATTTATATTGTTTTTATAATATTAACTTGTTGTTATTTAATAATCGTTTTTGTATAAGTTACATTGAAGATAAATATGGCTGGAAAGAATATATTTGCAATAATACTGTTCAATTCAAATATATGGAATGTTCTGATGAACTAATCAAATTTGTTTGTATAACCATGACCATAACCATGAAATATTTTCTATTTTACATGCATTACTAATAATCATGTTACCCGTAAACAAAATTAGAAACTATAGTCATCAATTTTTGTATGTTGTCCGTTTATGAAGTATTTTAATAATTGGTTTACAAAAAAAAATACTTTTCGGAAGTGTTTACATATGAGTTTATAGTTTACTATTTTCACTTATATCTTATGGTCAATTCAACATAAAATGATAATTATTTTTGTCTAAATAGAAATAATCAGAGTTAGTCCGATAGAAAAACAAGCACTAAACTTTTAAAAACTGTTATTATTAAATGTAAATATTGATAATTATTAAAAAGGGTGATAATAATTTATCACACCGGATATCGTTCTTTAATATCTTCCGTGTAACTTGTATATTCTCTATTATTAATTTATGTTTACTAAATATTCCACTTTCACTCTAACATATTGTACATAACAATGAATCGCTTAAGTATGAAAAACTACTTGGCAAAGCGTAGATTGTATTCTATTTTGTTCATTATTGGTACAAGATGGTCATAGTGGAGACACGTTTGTGGTTGGAAGACGAGTTCGAGTACCATTAATTTGATGGAAGCGCAATTTCCGCAAGATTTCAAGGAACTTTCGGGTCCGGCTGTTTTCAGCTTCGTCATCTCTCGCCATGGCCGGGCCATAGGAGTCGCAGTAAACGGTTTTCTAATTAATTAGAACGCGCCTCGAAAATGTATTGTGCCCTCGTCTCTGTGTTTATTTAGTTTGGCGAGTAGTCGTCGGCTTCGGCAAATTGCAATCAACTTTCATTAGCTTTCGGCCGCGTGTGCAGCCACTCCTTAAATTTAATCCCCCCTCGCAGCCCGGCGCCTCCGCGGCGATCCACCGACCCCTCTTAATTTTCCGCCCTTTGTCTCGCTCTTACCCCCGAAACTCTTCTTTAATTAAAGCAGGCGCTCCCCTCACGCCGCCGTCCGAGAATTTTCATAAACACTATAAACAAATAAAAGAAAAGTCCTTTTCCGTCGCTAATCTCGTAAACTCTTATAATGCACGTTCTTTAAATGGAAATCTCATTTGCGCTCAGCAACTTCTTCTTCTCAACCCCCCCCCATCCCTCGCCAACGGCCGTTGTAATTATTGTGTGTGTTTTCCGTGCGCCATAATTTCCGTGAAATTGCTTTTATTTATTATTCTTCCTGTATATTTATTATTATTATTATTTCTTTCCTTACCGCCGTATTACACTCATAATGGAAGGGGTGATCATCGTCGGTGAGGAAAAGGGAGAAAATGCACTTTCCCTCCGCCTGTCGCAGAGTCCCTGCAGCGCACTGCATTCGAGAAATTATGTGCGAGAGAGCCCTGTGCTCCGGCTTCCTTCAAAGTGGAATTTATTTCCACGGCTATAATGCGCTTTCCCTTTTCCCTCAGCCATAAACTGCTTTTCTTTTTTATTTACCACAGCACAGCTCTAATGTGCATCTTTAACGTGTCTCGTTGTTTTACTGCTTGATTTATCATTTAATTGCAAATTAACCTCTGCTTCTTTCTTGAACTCATTATATGCTTTTAAACACATATTTATACGCTTAAGACAAAAAATCTGTTAAATTCATTCATTATTTGTCCAAATTTTACAATTAATCAATGAAAAACAGTTTGAAATGATAAAATACATAGAGAAATAATGTTCCCTTGTAAATATACAAAGTTTTCTTAAATAATGTTGACTAAAACAAATACATTTACCTTTAAGCTCTTCGCTTCACTCTGCTTTAATATGCATTTCAATAATGTACATTTTTTTCATTCAATTAATATTTTCTATTTGATCATAAATTTTAATTGCCAATTATTTATAATTAATCTCTTATTTATACTATTACATTTTTTTTTTATAGATTTTATACCATTGAAAATGTTACTGATGCAAATATTAATATTTCATATTATGATATTAGAAAATAATAATTTTCAAAGTTATTTAGTATTTGAGTTAATTTAAAATGAAATACAGAATTTGAAATAAAATTTACTATTTTTATTATGTATTTTTACTGCAAAATTAAAGAACATACATTGTTTGAAATTGGGCAGTTACGATTATATGAATGTATTGATTATTGTAAATTAATTGATGTAATTAGGACATAAAGTGTTTGTTAATATATTGAAATCATTCTGAAATGTATAACAAGAAAACCATTGATTGTTTCGTTTTCATTAAAGTTTTGAGCACGTAGAATGATTGTGATTATTTGCTATTGAAAAGAAAGTAATTGAGTATTTGAGTTCTCGGTGTTAAAAAGTTCGTTGTTGCTCAATGGAGTGTGCAGTGCGTTAATGGGATTATTTGTGGGTCATTTAAACTTGGCTGATGCAAATAAATCAGCAAACTTTTGACGTATTCGTTTCAGGAAAAACCGCGAGTCAATTGAGTCCACCTAACCGCAGCAGCAGCAGCAGCGATCTGCAAATTAGCTACAGTTAACATCGATCACCGTTGTCAGTTAGTCAGTTTCCCCATTAAAACACTTACAGTTTACACGCCTGCCAAAAAATAATAATAATTAAGACTCATTTTCACGTTGTAATTTCAATCTTTGAAAATTTTGCTAAAAAAAATAAATATTTTTAAACTATTAATATACAACAATAAATCAGACCTATATTCTGGTTTCTATCAGTTCGGTTTCACTGTAGGTTTGAAAATTTCCAAAAAAACTAAATTTTAAATAAGCAAAATTAAAATAAATTTAGAAAAATTAGTACAGAAAATATTCTTTTTATACATAAATTATCTGATTTTCTTTTATCGAGTCAAGTCTATTTTTGTATCTCAAATAATCCGTACTATGCGAGGTATAAAATTGTCCTATACAAAAAAAAAAGTTGTTTATTGGGTTTTAAAATCATAATTTA